CTGCTGGGACTTGGCGGGACCCGGAAAGAAAACTCCAGCTACATGGGAATGTGTGCATGTTCTAGTTAATTTTGCCAGTCTCATTAGCCTATTTACATACTTGATTTTGAAAATACATCTTATGTAATAGGAATATTTTTTTTAACCTACACAGATTTTTCTTTTGGTAGCGATGGAGTAAGACTTCACAGCCATAAAACCTGTTCCTAACGCATGAAGGCTCTGGAGAGTGAATCAGTACACACAAGTGGAAGGTGATTTATGCAAATTTAGTTCCTATCTTAGCCTTTGGCCTGGGGCTAAGGGCACAACACACAGTGCATGCCAAGTGGGAGGCAAGAGGCAGTATTTCTGGTCAGGGGAGCCAGAAATCTAAAGCTGAATGCGAGTACTATTTTTGCCCTGACTTTTCTTGCACTTGTTTAAGGCAGAGGTTCTCACAGTCTCACAGGGTTTGCATATACATGTGCAGGATCTATGTAACTATAATAGGAAGGATGAGGCAAGGGGGATCTGACCTATTGGATGGCTTACTTTCACGACCACAAAATACATGAAGCAAACACTGTATCTGAATCATATCTGGAGGGGTTTCCCCACATGGGAGCCTTTAACAAATGTTAATTGACAAGAATAATATATACAAAGGGCTGGAGAGATAGTTCTGCAGTTAAAAACACTGGCTGCTCTTCCCTAGGTCCAGTTCCCAACACCCATATGGCAGCTAACAACAGACCCAGAGGATCCCTCACCCTCTTTTGACCTTTGCAGGCACTGCATGCATGTATTGTACATGCATTCGGGCAAAAACTCAAACACATAAACAATAAAATATAAAAAGAGAGAGAAAGAGAGAGAGAGAGAGTCATTTCTATGTTTTGTGCATGGCATGATGTACTGTGGAATGGTCAAATCTATACCCCTGATCATATGCATTACTTCATGTACTTATCCTTTTTTGATGGTAAGAACACAACATTTAGTCTCTTAGAAAGTTTCAAAGATATAGTGAATAATTATGTACAATAACACAAGTAAGAAGAACTAATTGGTCATCATGATGAAAAACAGAGCTCTTGAATGTATTCTCAGAAGTATAATGTATCTTTCACCAACTTCTCCCCAAAGCACCACCAATGGGTCTCTGGTACCCATTGGTTTCTGTGGTTTTCTGGTGTCATTACACTTGGCATGTATGTGAGACTATTCAGTATCTGACTCTGTGCCTGTATTATTTCACACTCAACATAATGTCTCCACATTACAGGTGAAAGGATATCCTCCTTTTCAAGGACTGAATGGTATTCTACTCAGTATGCATACCATGTTTTCTTGATCTTGTTCATCTGTTGATAAACTCAGGTTGGTGTTGTATCGTGGCTACTGTGAATTGCAATGATCATGGGATGCAGTTATGTCTTTGTCATGTTGATATTTTCTTTGGCTATATATCTGATAGTGAGACTTCTGGGTTATATGATCATATATTTTTAATTTTTAGAGGTATCTCTAGACTGTTTTCTATATGTTTATATTAATTTACATTTCCATCAAGAGTGCAGAAGAGTTTTTCTTTTTCCACAGCCTCACTAACATTCGTTATCTTTGTTTTGTTTTGTTTTGTTTTGTTTTGATAACAGCTATTGTAGCTGGAGTGAGGCAATACTTCTTGTAGATTTCTAAAGTTAATTTATGTATGTGTGCGTGTGCATGTGTGTGCACATGTGCTTACCATGGAGGGCATAAGGAGGTCAGAGGAAAACTCAGGGAGTTGGTTTTGTTTTCCGCCATGAGTTTGGGGATCAAACTTGGGCTGTCAGGCTTGCACAGTAGGTGTTCTGACCTGCACTGCCTCCTCACTGGCTCTAGCTGATGGTTAGTGGTGCTGAGCATCTTTCCAGCGCCTGCAGGCTATTTGTAATGTTTTTCGGAGTATCTATTTGAGTCCTTTGCTTGTTTTTTGAGCACTTTTTGTTATGGAGTTGTTTTAGTCTATCATACTTGGGGTGACAGACCCTCGTGAGGTATAGTTTCAGTGTCTTCTTCTGTCTGCTCAGGTCTTTATCCTGCTGCTTTCTTTGCTGTGCAGAAGCATCTTCCTTTCCTGTAGCCCTGCTTGCCTATTCTCACCTTCATTGCTATATTTAGGGCCACAGCCAGAAAGTCATCACCAGACAATTACCTAGAGGTTTTCCTTTGTTTCTTCTAGTAGCTTTGTACTTTCAAGTCTTATGTTTCAAATCTTAGGTTTGTGTTTAATTGATTGTTGTACATAGCACACGAAAAGGGTCCAGTTTCATTCTTCAGCAGGCTGAGACAGTTTTCTTAGCACAATTTATTAAAGAAGTTGTCCTTTCCTCATTTTGTGTTCTTAGAATCTTTGTTCAAAAATCAACTGGTTCGGGGGGGGGGGGGGGGGGGCTGGCTCAGTGGTTAAGAGGGCTGCTGGTCCAGAGGACCACAGTTCAATTCCCAGCACCCACGTAGCAGCTCCCAACCATCTGTAACTCTAATCCAAGGGTATCCAGTACCATCTTCTGGACTCGGAGGGCACCAGGTACACAAGTGGCGTACAGACATACATGATGACAAAATACCCATATGCAGAAAATAAACAAACAGAAAACAAACAAATATCTAAATATGTGGGTTTATTCCTGGGCTAACTGTTCTTCTGGGGCTCTGCTCCACTGGCCTGGGTTGTATCTGATGCACCGTGCTGTTTGATTACTAAAGCTTTGCAGTACATCAGGAAGTCTGACGGCTCCAGCTTGGCTTTTTTTTTTTCTTAAGATTGCTTTGACCATTCCAAGTCTTTTGTAATTCCATGTGAACTTTAGGATTCCTTTCTCTATTTTGTAAAAAATAAAGTCATTGAAATTTTGACAGGTTTTCCCTGAATCTGTAGACTGCTTTAGAAACTGCAAATATTTTATCTATGTGAATTCTTCTGATATCTGAACATGGGATAACTTTCCACTTATTCCTGTCTTCAATTTTATTTTCTTTCTTTTTTTCTCTTTTGTTTTTTAAGATAGAGTCTTGCTGTGTAGCTAAGGCTGGCCTAGAATTCATGATTCTCCTGCCTGAACCCAAGGGCTGGCATTATAGGCCTGTTACCGTGCTCAGCTTTTCTTCCATTTCTTTTATTAATGCTTTCAACTCTTCACTTTTTATGTTTATCTAATTATTTACTACCTTTTCTTCAAAATTTGCTAGAAGGAGAAAACAAACAAACAAACAAACAAAATCCAGCAATGTATTTGCAGCATTCCACTTGTTTCACTGGTATTCATAGAACACTGCATCTAACAATGACAGGAAACTCATACTTCTCAGGTGTACCTAGAATGCTTCCAAGTTAGAGCGTATGATGGGCCACAGAATAAATCTTATTAGAGTAACAAATCACACAGAGCATGTGCTCTGACAATAAGAGTTAACTCTTGGTGGCTGGTGGTGGTGCCCGCCTTTAATCCCAGCACCAGGGAGGCAGAGGCAGGCTAATCTCTGAGTTTGAGGCCAGCCTAGTCTACAGAGTGAGTTCCAGGATTGCCAGGGCTACACAGAGAAACCCTGTCTTGAAAACAAAACAATAAAATAAAAAAAGAGTTAACTTTTAAGTCACCATTACTAATAATATTTGGAAATGAAGCAAACAATTAATAAATGTCTTATCTCAAAAAAGAAATTACAGTGAAAATGGACAGTATTTTTAATGGTATTATCATGAAAATGCAACATATACATTTATATTCACAGAATTTTGCTAAAGAAGATCTTGAGAAATTCACATTCTGTGCTAGAAAGAGAAAAAAAATTTAAAGTCAGTGGTCTGAGTTCTTATTTTAGGAAATTAGAAAGGGGCTGGAGAGCTGGCTCAGCAGGTAAAGGTGCTTGCTGCCAAGCCTGACGACCTGAGTTTGATCCCCAGGACCCACGTAGTAGAAGGGGAAAATGGTTTCCTCTGACCTTCATGTGCATGCGTGTGCACACACACTAAATAGAAAATGTGAAGAAAAAAATAAGGCCAAGAATAGTGGCACACCTTTAATTCCAGCAATCAGGAAGCAGAGGCAGGCAGATCTTTGTGAGCCTGGTCAACATAGTGAGTTCCAGGCCAGCCAGGGTTACATAGTTACAAACAAAAAAATAAACAAATAAATAAGAAAGAAAATTTAAAAATAAGTAAGTGAACAAATAAATCAAAAGAAATTTGAAAAAAGGACCAAATTAAAATCAAAGCAAAGAGAAGGAAATAATAAAAAGCAAAATAAAAACTAGGATGTAGCCGGGCGGTGGTGGCGCACGCCTTTAATCCCAGCACTTGGGAGGCAGAGGCAGGCGGATCTCTGTGAGTTCGAGGCCAGCCTGGACTACCAAGTGAGTTCCAGGAAAGGCGCAAAGCTGCACAGAGAAACCCTGTCTCGAAAAACCAAAAAAAAAAAAAAAAAAAAACTAGGATGTAAAGTGCGAAGACTTTGAAAAGACCATAAAATTCACACATCTCTGGCCTGATGGAAGGAGGGGACATGACAACCATATTACCAAGCATAAGAGAAGCACATAACCATAGATTCTACAGACAAAAAGGTGACATCATAAGGTAGCACATATGATGTGCTGGTAAAGAGTGATACTGTAAGGTTAAATATGATACCACCTGTGCTGGTGAAAGAAAGAAAATGAAATTGGACAGAAGTAAGTGGAAAGTTATCCTATGTTCAGGCATCAGAAGACTAACATAGATAAAATGTCTGCAGTGGAGGTCAGCAGATTATCTGGGGAGTCAGTTCTCTCCTTTCACTGTGAAGTCCATGGAACTCAGGTTGTCAAGCTTCTGTGGCAAGTGCTCTTACCTGCTGGGCCATCTCGTAGCCCTAGCTTGTATTTCATAATGGTCTCCTTCCTCCCACTGCCATGTCTGCCTTCTCTGTCAACATCAGCACCGAGCACTAGTGACCACCGAAGATGGGGACATTGACATTCAGTCCACCTACCTCTTGTGTGGTAGGCAGGGTCCCCTCACAGACAACACAGTGTCTCAGATGAGCAGGATTCACGGTGCCACAGGTGCGACAGATGACCTTCTCCTTGACAACAGGGGATGAGAAACAGAATGAGCAACGACAGGGTGGAGGTGCTGGCTGTCAGTCCTGTCAGTCAGCCAGCGGTGTGACAGCACAGTCGGGAATACTGCATTGGTCTGGGGATTGTTGTAACATAGTGCCGGACAAAAGACCACGGTTTTAAAAGAGACAAGACTGCAAACAAGCAAGCAAACTGAAGACAGTATTCACTTCGTGTAAGGGAGACAATTTGAAATTTCCCAATGGTTAGGTTTCCATCCCCAGTGTGGGAAACCTGACAGCCTATACCACGAAGAGAAAGACTTGAGAGCAGCAGAGGCTCGTGTGTGGATTACAGGTCTGCTGGGTCCTGAGACTTTATGCTAACTATGAATTTAGGGTTTTTTTTTCTGTAGGTTATGACTTAGATAGAAGTGGAAGAAGTGACTGTCAGAAGAGAATGTTAATGCAACTTCCCACGTCAGTCCAAGAGTCAAGATGGAACACAGAAATAGAGGAGACGATAGAACTAGATAGAGCTGGAAATGAGAAGAAAGGGAGGAGGAGATGGAGAAAAGGGGAAGATGAAACTGTTAATAAGATTAATACAGTTAAGGAGAAACCTCGCATTTTGCCCTGGATAATAGGAAAATGCCTACAGGGTAGATCCCACCCACAGAAGGCCCCAGTTTCTACAGTGCAGACGGATTGGAAAGAAGTAGCACAACTGCTCAGGTCAGTGCTTGGCAGGCTCAGTCACCCACCGAGGAGCAGAGGCTGACCAGTGCCAGTGTGGGAGGAGTGAGCCAGAGTTTATCTGGAGCAGGCAGCAGAACCTAGTAGCACCACGCACAGGTATTAGTTTTGTAGCTATGAAAGATGTAATGTTAAGGGGGTCATGTAGGCTTGCATCACAGTTTCAGAAAGCTGTTGAGGCCAGGCAGTGTGTGGCAGGGTCAGATTCCCTAAAAGAGGCCCCTAGGAGCCGCTGCAGGAAGCTGTGGGGTGAAGCTTCAGCTGCAATGAAGATGTCAGGGTGTGAATAGTTCTACCACTTTTCCTCTACAAAATAGAAGCCACCATCAGAGTGAGCAAACAAAAACATGAAACCACTTTCAGTGAACAGCTGTAAGTCAATATTAATTGTGGGAAGCCAGTTCCCACTTTTACCCAGGGTACTCTTGAGGAGAGAGGGATAAGAAACTTTTAGATAGAAAGATAGTGGAGATTGGGACAGACAGAAACACAGGATAGCTTCAGGAGGACCTGGGTCAACATCCACTGGCCCCTTCTGTCTCTGCAAAAGGACTTTTTATAACAAAGCCAAGGGGCAGGGCAAAAGACCTCCCCTTTGCTAGATCAAAGCACACCACACAGCCAAGTATAGACTCTTCTAAACACCTGGTAACCATGCACATGGTCAAGCCATCCCCTTATGCACCCCTGCTGGGTAAAGCAAGCTCAGATATCACTAGGAAACCTCTGTGGGCCCCCACAATTAATTTCAATATTAAAGTCTGAATACTTAAGCAAAGAACTGTCTAAATTAACTGCATTGCAATTTGCCCTCAAAATCCATTTTCAGGGAATATGTGTAGGGATTTCCCTTATAGATCCTATTCACAAGTTATATATTTGGATCAGTACACCTTCCCAAAAATCAGAATGGGTTTGTTCATGAGACATTAGTTTATCAATCATTAGTCCACTCTACCAGCTGAAGACAGACACATAGTGATTCAAATATCACCTTCTGTATATCTCATTCATGTTTTCACAGAATCACAATTCCCTACCTTCAGGTGATAGTGGGCCTGTGCCCGCAGCTGTGGAGCAAGAGGAGCCTCGCACACCACACAGATGGCGGTATTCATGGGTACCATACTTCCACATTCTGCACACACGCCCATCTGCTCAAAGGAAAAAGTCAGATTTGACTTGGGAGGTGAAAGCTGACAGGACTTCATTCATAAGGTTTGATTTGCTTTTGTAAACTTTTAAATAATTGCCTTTCCTATTATTTTTTTTATTGCCATTAAGAGTAAAAAACCTTAAATAAACGGAAAAGCTCCTGAAAATGGCCATTTGCACAAAAGCATGGTGGAGCTCACAGGTTGCTCCCCTCCTCCCTGCCCTGGGCAGTGACTCCTCCAGGGCTGGGCAGGCTGGAAGTGCGGTACGTCTGTGACTGTTGCTGTACAGGGTCTTCCTTCCTGGAGACATTGCTAAGCTGACAATCTTAGCGGCAAACCAAGAGGAGCAGCAGTAACCCACAGACTGGTGACGTGCCCAAGGGTTTGTGTTGGTTACTGTTGTTCTCGTTGTTTTGAGTAGACGGTTTTGCTTTCATTGTGATTTCTATTTTAACTTCTGAAAAGAATTTGTGTGTGTGTGTGTGTGTGTGTGTGTGTGTGTGTGTGTGTGTGTGTGTTGTGATAGGGAGGGTTGGGAGTGATATAGGTGTAGTGTTTATGTACGAGATTCTCAAAAAATATCAAAATGTGTGTGTTCATACATGTACAAGTGCACATGTGTGCACAGGTTTGTGTGTGTGTAGGTCAGAAGATAACCCCGGTGCCATCATCAGGAATGCTGTCAATCTCCTTTGAGATGGGGTTTCTCACTGGCCTGCAGCTCACCAATGATGCTAAGCCTGCAGCCCCACAGCTGGAGAGCGAGCTAGGTGCTGAGGACTGAGCTCGCCTGTGTGCTTTCAAGTCGAGCAGTGCCTTACTGACTAAGACATTCTTCCAGCGCTTTGCCCAGGATTTTAACAGGCAATCTAACTGTAATCTCTCAATAAGTTCTCAGTGTGCCCAAGCAGCCACACATCTCTACTTGCATGTGTAGATGAAAAAGAGCTCAATATAAGTAAAAGCTGCCGGGTGGTGGCGGCACATGCCTCTGATCTCAGTACTCAGGAGGCAGAGGCAGGGGGATGTTTGTGAGTTTAAGGCCAGCCTGGTCTACAGAGTGAGTTCCAGGACAGCCAGGGCTACACACAGAAACCCTATATCAAAAAATAAATAAATAAATAAATAAATAAATAAATAAATAAATAAATAAAATTAATTTAAAAAAGTAAAAACTCAGGCTAATTTGAAAACAGTCTTAAGTTTTATATTTGGTCCAACCCACACAAACATCTATCGGTAAAGCCTTACTAGCTTGAGGTACATGAACACAGTTTTGGGCCAATCTTGTCCCATTTAAACAGTAAGATTTCAGCCTGTTTCTCAATATGTCTTCTCCAAGGCCATGCAAAAGAAATTCTGTTAGAAGCATGTTCTCTGTTCTCAAGAAGGATCTGGACAGCAAGAGATCAATGTGCTCAAAATTCTTTCAGTGAGTGTTTACATTTGTGGCTCATGTGCCAGGCCCTTGTCACGGCAACCCATATGGGTCACACAAACCAAAAAGTAATGTTTTCAAACATTCTGCAGCTTACCTGAGAGGCTTCTGGGGGTGGAAGACGACAGCCAAATATGGGCGGCACAGGAACACCACATTCGTGACAGAATCGAGAAAAGGGATCAGATGGCCGGGAAGCCAGGCAGTGGGCACACCTACAGCAAGACAGGTTTCCATTTCTCCATAAGGGTCTACACTAACATTCTTACATATGTAATGGAAGGGAGAGGGTGCGTGAGATCTTGCCGCCTGCAAAGGACTACTGGCAGTAAAAGGTTGTTGGGGGCGGAGCATTTTTATCAGTGATATACCTACTGAACAGTAGCCCATGCTAATGCAAGCAACTCTAATTAAATTCAGACACACAGGCACACACACATGCACTCACAGGACATGAAAGTTGGAGGGGAAATTCTTGAGAAGAATCAAGTGTGTATGTTTCTAAATACCTTCATTAGAATTCAGAGATTGTCTAATTTTTTTTTTAGTTTTTCGAGACAGGGTTTCTCTGTGTAGCTCTGGCTGTCCTGGAACCCCCTTTGTAGAGCAGGCTGGCCTCAAACTCACAGAGATCTGACTGCTTTCACTTCCTGAGTGCTGGGATTAAAGGTGTGTGCCACCACTGCCCGATTCTGATATAATTTTTTAAAGTAAGACCTAACTATACTTTGTCTAAAAGAAATCAACTTTAAGTAGGGGAACAAAAGTAAACTATAAGATATAATATGTCCTAAAGATATTAGTTAAGAGAAGGCAAGAGTGGTTACTTATTATTAGAGCAAGTAGCTGTCTGAGCAAATGAAGCCACCAGAATTAAAGAAGGCTTTTTCATAGTGGCATAGGAGTAAACTCAACAACAGGACAAAAACATTTAAATAATTCCATATTTAATATCAGTTTTTTTTTTTTTTTTTGGTTTTTCGAGACAGGGTTTCTCTGTGTAGTTTTGGTGCCTTTCCTGGAACTCACTTGGTAGCCCAGACTGGCCTCGAACTCACAGAGATCCGCCTGGCTCTGCCTCCCGAGTGCTGGGATTAAAGGCGTGCGCCACCACCGCCCGGCTAATATCAGTTTTAAGGAGACTTTTAAGACTATGTAGACTGTCATGGTTAGACAAATTGCATTTTGCATTATGAGACAGCAATGAGCTTTGGGGATAGCAGTGAAATGTTATGATTTGAATCTGCAATGACACTCACAGGCTCAGATTTACAGTACTAGGCCTTTCTTGTGTCATTTGAAGGCTGTGGAGCCTGGCTGGTGAAACACATTACCAGAGAATGGACTTCGAAGGTTATACCCATCCCTGGTTCAGCCCATGAACTCTCTGCTTCTCATTTGCCATGTTGCGAATAAGCTGAGAGGGTCTTATTGTGTTTCCCAGGCTAACCTGGAACTTGCTATACAGCCCAGGCTAGCCCAGAACTTGTGATTCTCCTACCTCAACATCCTTAAGGCTGTCATTACAGGCATGTGACATGTGAAAAACTGTGAAGTTTTTCATAAATATGACAAACTAAGAATTAAATATAGCCAGGCGGTGGTGGCATAAACCTTTAATCCCAGCATTTGGGAGGCAGAGGCAGGTGGATCTCTGAGTTTGAGGCCAGCCTGGTCTACAGAATGAGATCCAGGACAGCCAGAGATACATAGAAGAGAAGCCCTGTCTTGAAAAACAAACAAAAAATTAACTATAAAAGAAAAACAAGTAAATTAGACTTCATCAAATTACAGAACTAAATATTAGAAAGTATTTGTAAAACATCTATCTTACAAGGGGGAACTAATACAACCTAATAATAATAATAATAAATATATAATAAATAATATTATATATAATAAAAAATAATAAATATAAATAATATAACCAATTTAAATGTCAACAGACTTTTACATGACAAATAAGCACATAAAAGATTCCTATTATTAATCACTAGGGAAATATAAATTAGAATCACAATGATATATCACTACAATCTCACAAGAATGTCCAAAAATATGAAGTGTTGGTCAAGTTGTAAAAACTGGAATTCTGTGACATTGCCAAGGTGAATATAAATGATATACCTCCTTTGGAAACAACTGGATAGCTTCTTTAAAGGTTGAGAAGATAAATCACCTATCATACAACCTAGTCATTCTCCTTTAAGACTCCTTGTCTTTACCATAAAAGACATGAAAGCCAATGTACTTGTGTATAAATGTTCACATTAGTTTTAAAATTTGACTTGTTAGCCAAATACTAGGAGGAGCATGTGCTCTTACAAGTGAATGGATAAGCAAACTGTGGGGTGCCCATGCTATAGATGCAATAATAAACAGAATGCTTGGCAATAAAAGGAGTAGACATTTGATGTCAGCCACATGTATGAATCTCAAAACAATTATGCTGAATCAATAAGGCCATTTGATTTATTCCATCACTATGGAAATGATGCAAACTGGACTGACAAGAACCAGATCAACAGATGACTGGTCCCCGGGGCAGGGTAAGACGGTCCAGTGTAGGGATGAACTTGTTCATCTCTGTGATTGTAGTGTTAGTCTCATATACATGTGTCAATCACACTCTTTACGATACACATTTTAATGTATGTTGGCTAGCCTCTTTTCTTTTTTAATTTTTTTCTATGTTTTATCTTCTGTGTATGGATGTTTTGCCTGCAATACATGCCCATGTCCACAGAGGCCAGAAGAAGGTCTTGGATCCCCTGGAACTGGAGTTATTGACAGTTGTGAACCACCATGTGAGTGCTGGGAATTAAACCACGTCCTCTAGAAGTTAGTGTTCTCAACCACTCAGCCATCTCTCCAGTCCTGGCCTCTTTTTCCCAACTATATGTTTTTAAAACTCTAAAATTTTTCTAGGCATGGTAAATGCCAAAACTCAGGATTCTGAGGCAAGAAAACTATTTCAAGTTTGAGGCTTAACCTGGACTGCATAGCAAGTGTCAGGCCAGACCTATATGGCAAGTCCCTGTCTCAACAAATTTAATTTAAAAGCTAGTGATGGGCAAATCCCGTGTTATATTTCATTTTAAATCTCCATGGACCATGTGTGACTTTGATCTTAGACCGGTAGAGAACATGTTACATACTTGAGGAAGTCCGTGTCCCTCTGGATCCGTGTGATCTCCGTGCTTGTCAGACTCTTCTGGCCAGTTATGTGTGCAAAGCCAGGGGACTGAAATTGAGAACACAGATAGAACTAGGAATACAGGTCACAAAAAGGGAAGGGAAGATCCATTCAGATTCATTTACCAGCGTTCAAGTTTTAAAACCATCATAGAAAAACTGGGCGGTGGTGGCGCACGCCTTTAATCCCAGCACTCAGGAGGCAGAGCCAGGCGGATCTCTGTGAGTTCGAGGCCAGCCTGGTCTACAGAGCGAGATCCAGGACATGAACCAAAACTGTACAGAGAAACCCTGTCTTGAAAAAAACAAACAAACAAAAAAGAGATATCTGAATTTACTATTAGACAGACAGTATTTTAGAACTGGGAGACTTAAGTTAGTATCCATTTGTCTTAAAGATATTATTTCTAGAAAACTCAAAAGGACTCACTTATTCAAATAGGTTATTTGAATTAACTCTTCTGTGTTTGGTGCAGAAAATGGGTAAAACAGAATATCACACGGTCCCTGTCCCTAAAGCACAGCCCTCATATCTGTACAATTGAAATCTTATGGACTCAGCAAGATAACAGACTCGTGTGGGTTTCCTAGGAATCTGGAGGAGAGAATATTCACATTTGCAGGCTTTAGGGAGAAGTGCTAACAACCGAGATGGGCATGGGAAAGTGAAGGAAAGCGTGTGAAGTAGACAGAAAACAAAAGGAATCAGCAGTAAGGAAACACAGGTACCACAGCAGGGCAACACATGGCCCATCCTGGGATACACTGATGTGATCGACAGACTGAGACAGAACGGAAGTCTGAAAAAGAAAGTTGATGGGAAGAAGCAAGCCATACTACTACTGATAATAAAATGCACTGGCCAACTGCAGCCATTGCCTCCTGGACATTCACTATGCCCTATGAGTTGTGCCATGTTATGCCATTTCACTCTATTTCTGTAATATTATTTTGAGACGAGGGTCTTGCTAAGTAGCCCAGATTGGTCTTGTTTTTCTTCTGCCTCAGCCTCCTAAAACCAGGGATTAAAGAAGTGAACCACCACACTGAGCATATAACATCTTATTTTGATATATCAGACTTTCTAAAAAGTTATCAAAATAGCAAACTAACTTCTGTTCCTCTAGCTCAAACAATTGCATATGGCAACATTTTCCTACATATCTCTTTATTCTCTTTGAGTCACATGATAATAAGTTGAAGGCACAATAGCCCTTAGTCCCTAAGTAGCTGAGTATGCATTTCCTAAGAAAACCACGTGTCAGAGTCAGAGGAGTGAAGGGCTATGATATTACAATCCACAAACACACATTTACACCCTGCTGGTTATGCCAATGGTGTCCTTTATAGCTATGTATGTTTCTTCCTGGTCTAGGGAAAATGTTTTTCCTGAATCTAATATCATACTTTGAATCTATTTGTCACATCCATGTTGTCACCTCTAATTTGAAGTGGTTCCTCAGTCCTTCTTCAGCTTTCTTGCCTTGAACATTTTTAAAGAGCAGTATATCAGCCAGGTATCAGTGGTGCATGCCTGCAACCCCAGCACTCAAGATGCAGAATCTATCACTTGTGCTACCTCAATGTATACAACAATGGAAAGGCAGGCCATGACTTGGAGAGAAGGTGGGGTGCTGGGGTTGTCTTTCTGTATGCTGTGAATGTGTTGCTCTGATTGACAAATAAAACGCTGACTGGCCAGTAGCCAGGCAGGAAGTATAGTATAGGCAGGATAAAGAGAGAAGAGAATTCTGAGAAGTGGAAGGCTGAGTCAGGAGACCCTGTCAGCCGCTGCCGCCATGAGATGCAAGATGTAAAGTACTGGTAAGCCACAAGCCACATGGCAACTTATAGATGAATAGAAATGGGTTAATTTAAGATATAAGAACTAGATAGCTAAAGCACAGGGACAAATAGCGAAACGAATGGAAACACATGAACTATGAACCAATGGCTGAGGGGCCCCCAACTGGATCAGGCCCTCTGGATAAGTGAGACAGTTGATTGGCTTGATCTGTTTGGGAGGCATCAGGCAGTGGGACCGGGTCCTGTGCTCAGTGCATGAGTTGGCTGTTTGAAACCTGGGGCTTATGCAGGGACGCTTGGCTCAGCCTGGGAGGAGGGGACTGGACCTGCCTGGACTGAGTCTACCAGGTTGATCTCAATCCTTGGGGGAGGCTTTGCCCTGGAGGAGGTGGGAATGGGGGGTGGGCTGCGGGGAAGGGGAGGGAGCGGGAGCGGGGAGAACAAGGGAATCTGTGGCTGATATGTAGAACTAAATTATATTGCAAAATAAAATAAAATTAAATAAAAAAAAAAAGAACTAGATAGCAAGAAGCCTGCCATGGCCATACAGTTTATAAGTAATATAAGTCTCTGTGTGTTTACTTGGGTCTGAGTGGCTGCAGGAGCCCAGTGGACACAGGAAACCTTCAGCTATAGTAAGGAGAGGGGATGCTACATGAGAGGGGTTGGAAAAGGGGAAGGGAAGGGGGAGTGATGTAATTATATTTTAATTTAAAAACATAGGCAAGACGCAGGAGGATCGGCACAAATTTGAGGCCAGCCTGGTTCACATAGTTTCAGACCAGCCAGGACTATATCATGAGATTATTTCTAAAAACAAAACAAAAGAACCTGACAGTTACCTTATAGAAATTCATAGCATATGGCATCAACATGGACTTTGCATTTGTCTAATATTCCTATGACAAGAGTCAGGCATGGATTTGGGTACACATTCCAGAGGAAGGGAGGTGTCATTGCAGCATGTGAGGGGTTTCAATACTCGTTTTGGGAAGGATGCTGAAGCTCATAAAGCCATTTGGCTTGAGTTCACATCAACAGTATGGGCACTAAAGCTTGGGATTTCAGAGTTAATTCTGTAGACAATGGGGAGCAGTCCGAGTGATTTTGTTAAGGACGAAGTATAATGTTTAATGTTTTTGTGTTACATCAGACAAGGCCTGTACCAGAAGTCATAAACTGGTCATTTTTGGCCAAATATTGTGAGACACTGAATTTCATTTCGCCTTTATAACATATATATTGCCTCCCATACTGGTTCAGGTTCCAGATTGATTCTCAGATTTTAAATTGGGTTAGTAGACATGAAGATATAGGTTTCTGGTAGCAAATTCATTTATTCAGGAGGCAATACTGGACTGGAAGTCCTTGCCAATAACTGCTTGCAGATGAGAATGGGCACTCTGGGTAGCTCTGGCATTCCAGATCATCACAGAACCCACAAACTTGGTAACTTCAGTCTAAAGCTACCTGTCACTTGTCATTTATCCTCTACTTCGCTGCCTGACCTGAAGTCAATGTTAGGCCAGAAGGATGGATGAGTAAAATGCAGAAACTGGTCCCATGCCTAGAGTCTCTGTTTGAGGGTTGGCATGAGGGCTGAGAATGTGCATTTCAAATGGACTCCTGTGTGACTATGATGCTGTAGGTGTGGGGAACCCACTTTGAGAACCACTGTGCTATCTCATCACCAAGTTTATCTTGTGCATGACATCACTGATTAAGAATTGTTGTGTACGGGCGGTGGTGGCGCACGCCTTTAATCTCAGCACTTGGGAGGCAGAGGCAGGCGGATCTCTGGGAGTTCGAGGCCAGCTTGGACTACAGAGTGAGTTCCAGGAAAGGTGCAAAGCTACACAGAGAAACCCTATCTCGAAAAACCAAAAAAAAAAAAAAAAAAAGAATTGTTGTGTGTAGTCAGACAGTGTGGTGGTGCATGCCTTTAATCCCGGCACTTTGGAGGCAAAGATAGGCGAATCTCTGAGTTTAAGGACAGCCTGACCTATGAAGGGAGTTCCAGGGCAGCCAGGGCTACACAGAGAAACCCTGTCTTCAAAAATAAAAACAAACAAACAAACAAACAAAAAATTTGTGTGACTATTTACTTGATTATTATTTGTCTGCTTCAAATCTCTATCAAAGGACAGCTCTATGAACATGGAGCTTTTTCCGTTTGGACACAGCATTTCCAAGAGCTGGGACACCTCCTGCAACATGGCTAAAGGCTGAAAGATACTGTCTGAATGTATGCTGGGAAGCATTCAAATGCCTAAAGAATTTCCACCAATGTTACCTGGGACTGATGAGTAGGTATTCTAGAACTCGATCCTTCATGGTAGGCTGGGATTTCCAGTGGACTCGCGGAGAATCGAAGATCTTTCAGAGTTTTAGGGTCTGCTCTTTCGCCTACCTTGAGGTCTACAATTATATTAAATATAATATAAAATCACAAAACATTATTTTGTGATTATCTGTTACTGTATAAAACCATGCAAATATGCCCTTATGACTAGAACCCTCCAGTAAAGGACTACGTCACATTCTTTTCCTAGCAGTAACTATGATAAAGTCAGCCTTCTTAAGTCAATGAACTAGAGCTGAGAAAGAAATAATTAACCCAGTCTAAGAAAATAACCTTCCTTGATACCTTCTACAGCATTCCATGTCAAGCTAAGAAAACAGACCAGTCCAGTTGGAAAGTCAGCAGGTAACATCATTTCAACTAAAAAAAAAAAAAAAAAATTGCAACAGCTTCTTCTTTGCATGGCTATTGCTTACTTACCCAGGAGTCCAGAAACTTTGCTGTCTGAAGTCATGTAAGGAAGACCTCAACTTTTCCTAGAAGATCCAGTCACTTTGTTGTTGTTTTAGAAAACAAACAAAAACCTCAACAGCCTGCGTTTGGTCCTAGGAGCCTATGTGTAATGAGACAACTGACTCCCAAAGGCTGTCCTCTGTAGCATACATGCACCCCACACACAACAACAACAATAATACTGTTGGGGCTTTTGTTTATTTGTTTTCTAAAACAACAACAACAAAGTGACTGTGTCTTCAGGAAAAGCTGAGCTCTAAAGCTGGGTGGTGGTGCACGCCTTCAATCCCAACACTTGGGAGGCAGAGGCAGGTGGATCTCTGTGAGTTCGAGGCCAGCCTGGTCTACAAAGTGAGTTCTAGGACAGCCAGAGCTGTTACACAGAGGAACCCTGTCATGAAAAAAGAGAAAAAAGAAAAAGGTGAGATCTTCCTTACATGACTTCAGACAGCAAAGTTTCTGGACTCCTGGGTAAGTAAGCAATAGCCATGCAAAGAAGAGGCTGTTGCAATTTTTTTTTTTTTTTTTTTAGTTGAAATGATGTTACCTGCTGACTTTGCAATTGGACTGGTCTGTTTTCTTAGCTTGACATGGAATGCTGTAGAAGGTATCAAGGAAGGTTATTTTCTTAGACTGGGTTAATTATTTCTTTCTCAGCTCTAGTTCATTGACTTAGGAGGGCTGACTTTATCGTAGTCGCTGCTAGGAAAAGAATGTGACGTAGTCCTTTACTGGAGGTTTCTAGCCATGAGGGCATATCTGCATGGCAAATGATTTTTTACTTGCTTAGCTATTTTGCTGGCCCCCAAGACATAAAAAAGCAGGCTCATTTTCTAACCATGTGCTGAACACATCCTACATGCACCTTTGTGGTTTCCAAAGTAATCAAACCTGAATCCATATCTGATGCTGGCCCTTCTCTTGCAACTCAGTTTTACTCAATTCTAGCAAAACTCTGCTTTTGTTTAAAATTTACCCAAACACCACCCATTCCCCAAACCTGATCACTCTTTCTTTGTTTGGTGAGGCACCTCATGGTTCCTTCAATATAATCATTCAATAAATCAAATTTTATCAGACTGTTTGTTTATCTCTCATGGTCTTAATCTGTTAGCTAGAATAAAATAAATATTCAAATTGTAACCTGCCTTCCCATTTTTCTTATTTCAATACAAGTCCATAAGAAAGCGTGCAGTGAGCATGCAGGAAGCCTGCTTAGAGTGTTTCTTTCTACCTCATCGTACCTGCAAGCCGTCTAAGGTTAACGTTCCAAGTCGATTTATTTTCAGCATTCTTATACTTCTTCTTTAATTTTGGTCCGACAAATCCATTTTTTAATTCCTAGGAATGAAGAGATTACATGGCACTTGATTATATACATTTAGAGTGTGAGAATTAGAAGTCGTGGCAGAGACAGTGTCATGGTGAACACTTCTTACTTGAAAGGGATTGGAGCAGTTTTTATCAAGTGAGGTCTGTTTCCATTGAAAACCCACAGCTTTGTGTATGGGCTACTTGGTGAGCAGCATGTCTGGCTGGTAGGCCTCACCAGGTCAAGCAGCCAAGATAGGAGCCATAGATAGTACCATTATTAGAGACAATAACAGCACAAGAATGGAATCAGAGGGGAAAATAGAGTGGGGTCAGACCAAAAACAACAGGCCTTATGCATACTACCTGCCTAGACAGCCCTCCAAACACTCTTCTCCTTGGCCTTTCTTTTTTGTGTACTCCATCCCTTCTCTCTGATTCAGACCTGAGTCTCTGATGACTATCCCTGTGATGATCACATTACAGACCCACCTCATCCACTTGCATCCACTCTGGTCCCACAACATGTGCTCTGGTCTCAGGGCTACCACCAGCTTAAGTAACACCCTCAACAAACTTTCTCTGTCATTCTCAACAAGTACCCCATGACTGAAACTTCCTGGTTGGGTGGCCACTCTCTGGCCCTCTTAGCTGAATCACTGGTGCTGACAACCCAGGGCTGAAGTTTCAAACACCTTTCTTAGGTCTATCAGATTAACTCTCCAAAGAAGTGAAGAGTTGCAGCTTTTGGTGGGTGAAGACTTTAACTAATAGAAGTCAACACACACTGGAATGGTCTACTAGCCTGACTAATCCATTCACCAAATATACATTGCCCTCCCTTGCCTGCCCATAAGCTCTGCTAAAAGGATGGCAGTCCTAATTACTGCCATCTTGGAGCTTACAAATGGGAAAGGCTGACAAAAAAAACAAGGAATCACATGCTCAGGTCACTTTTCCCAGCAAAGGCCTGGTGCAGGGATGGAGAAGAGTGCTCACAGCCTGTTTATCTGGAATTTATGCAGAGTTCACAGACAAAGCAGAGAAGCTGGGTGAGCATGGGAGCTGATTCCCCGGGTGGCATGCTTCATCACAGGTAGTCACTGCAGACAACGGAGCACAGGCAGTGACAGTGCCCAGTCAGAATTCTGATCTTAGGCAGAGAAAAGTTTGAGCAAGGCTGGGAAATCAATGAAGATTCTTCACAATGGTTGATCCTGACCTTAATCACAAGGATCTGACTGTCAGTAGAAGTGTTGTAATGAAAGGGAGGGTGTGCCCTTTGAGCAAGAAAGGATGAAACATGGAGTGACAATCTGAACATTCTTCGGTTTCATTACTTGCCTGCTTTGAAAAACCTTTGAGGGCATCTTCAACACTCTCTTCAGAAGAGACCGTCTTCGGTGGTTCATAGTCTACTTGAAATACCTTTGTTACAATTCCACTCTCTCTGCAGTCTCTGAAAGAGAGTATATTATACAAACATTCAAGGTAAAGGGGGCTAGCAGTTAAGATGATGCTAAAGTTACTTAATGTAGCCTCTACATTTATTCTATTTTAAGTTGGAAAAGTCAAAATATACTTTGAGCTAAGGAGGACCTGAGGTGTGAGGTTTAGAGGGTGAAGGGTTGGTGGTGTCAGTCTTCAGCAGTGGCTCTGGTACTTTAGACCCTGCTCCAGCCCAGTAGGGTTCACAGAGCCTCAGGCCAGTGTGCAGCACTCCTTCCCATCCTGCCTGCCTCCTGGCAGTGGCCTGAGCTCTCAGAATACTGGCCTCAGCCCCGCGGAGCTCAAGCTTGGGAAAGTGGCTTACATTTCTTGTATCCTCCTTCTAGGTCTGCTCTGGAACTTCAAAACCATTCCTGGAAAGCCAGACACAGAGGTACATGTCTAGAATCCCAGCATCAGGAGGCTGTGGTAGGAAGATCATTGCCAGTTCAAGAGCACTGGCTGCTCCTCCAAAGGACTTGAGTTAAATTCCAAGTACCCATGTGGTGGCTTACAACTGTCTGTAATTCCAGCTCCAGGGGATCTGATGCCCTCCTCTGGCCTCCAGGAGCACTGTATGCATGCAGTAAACAGGTAGGCAAAACACTCATACACATAAAATAAAAATTTAAAAAAAAATCAAAAGTTTTGCTTGTTTATTTTTTGTTTTGTTTTTTCAAGACAGCATTTATCTGTGTAACAGTTTTAGCTGTCCTGTTGTCTGGAACTCGCTCTGTAGACCAGGCTGGCCTCAAACTCTGGGATTAAAGGCATATGACACCACCACTTGTGGTGGTATTGTGTTCCCCAAAATATTGTGCACCCTAATAAACTTATCTGGGGTCAGAGAACAGAACAGTCACTAGATACAGAGGCTAGAAAATGGTGGCACTCACGCCTTTAATCCTAGCATTCCAGAGCCAGAAATCCGTCTGGATCTCTGTGAGTTCAAGGCCACATTGGAAACAGCCAAGCATGGTGACTCACGCCTTTAATCCCAGAAAATGAGCCTTTAATTCCAGGGAGTGATGACAGAAAGCAGAAAGGTATATAAGGCATGAAGACCAGAAACTAGTAGTATTTGGTTGGTTAAGCTTTCAGGCTTTCAAGAAGCAGTTCAGCTGAGAGCCATTCAGATATGAGGACACAGAGGCTTCCAGTCTGAGGAAACAAGATCAGCTGAGAAGTTGGCCAGGTGAGGTTAGCTGTGGCTTGTTCTGCTTCTTCCAGCATTCACCCCAATAACTGGCCTCAGGTTTGATTTTATTAATAAGACCATTTAAGATTCCTGCTACAACCACTAGCTCATAAGTATTTTTAAAAAATAAATAAACACAATCTATACTGCAAGGGTACAGACAACAGATAATTTATCAATAAAAGGCCAACAGAAATCTCTGATTAAAAGGCCAAAGTGGTTTTCTCAAAGGATCACAGTTGTTTTTAAAATGGACCTGCTATGAAGCATCTTTCTAATTATCTCTGGTCTTTTTCTCTGAGACCAGAATTCTGGTCAGACAGGTTAGCTATTTACCTGACACTTATCATGAAATACATGGTATTTATAGTCAAAATGTACTTAAGCATTTATATATATTTAAAATGTTCAATGGCCTCATTCTTGAGTTCCTTTTTAAAAATCAAGGAGCTTTCATTTCTCTGACTGACATTTTAATAACATGGATAGATACAAGGTCTGTGTGGGTGGACACAGCACTTGCCAGCCTTGGCCCTCCAGCATTCAGTCCCATGGATTTGCCAGCTCTTGTGCTCTACTTTGGTTCTCTAGTGCTTGATAAAACTCCAAGGCCAGAACAACTTGGGGGAGGAATGGGTTGACTTGGTTTACAGCTTACATCCATCACTGAGGGGACCTCAAGGCAGAAACCTGGAGGCAAGAACTGAAGCAGACTATGGAGGAGTGCTGCTTACTGCCTTGCTTCCCACACATGCTCACCTGCCCTTCTTCTTCTTTTTTTTTTTTTGGTTTTTCGAGACAGGGTTTCTCTGTAGTTTTGCGCCTTTCCTGGAACTCACTTTGTAGACCAGGCTGGCCTCGAACTCACAGAGATCTGCCTGCCTCTGCCTCCCGAGTGCTGGGATTAAAGGCGTGCACCACCACTGCCCGGCTTCACCTGCCCTTCTTATACAACTGAGGACCACTCGGTCAGGGGTGACACCACCCACAGTGGGATGGGCCCTCACACATCAATCGGTAGTAAAGAAAATGCCCAGACTTGCCTACAGGTCAGTATGATGGAGTTACTTTCTCAATCGAGGTTCCCTCTTCCCAGATGACTCTAGCCATGTCAAGTTCACACACACACACACACACACACACACACACACACACACACACACACACACACGTGCACGCGCACACATGCACCAAAACTAATCAGCACAAATAATATAAATACAAGGTTTGTGCCAGTAGATACTGTACACTTAGAATCCTCGGGCCTCTAGCATTGGGTGCCATGGACTTGACTGCTGTTTGCTTCAATGAAGGACTCTTCTCATTTGAGTGGATTAAGTTCTACTATGAGTGGTACAGTTGATGAAGATGTGAAACGTAGCTACATAGTTACTAGTGAACACAACGGAACAATTGATGCCCAAAAACAACACCTGCTATTAGATGCTCAGAGGAAGATGAAAAAGTCAAATCTAGGGGAAATCCCTTGAAAGATGAAATGCCTCTTACATAAATATCTAAAGCATTCATTAAAATGCAGCTGCATTCTTTCTATTCTTGCTAATTCATAAACTTTCAATCAGAAAAGAATCCCAATTTCCAGTGTTTCCTTACCCCATTGTCATTTGGGTCTTCTGTATCTACCACTGCACAGCTAACTGCCCAGAAGCTAGGGCCTCAAGCCCCAGTCCTCGGGGAAATTGGTCACAGCGGGTGAACTCTTTCATGTGGTACCATCAGATGGTATGACTTCTTTCACAAATGGTTGTTCTTGGGCCAATCTCTCTCCCTTCCCCCACTCTCTCATATTTTACATTCTCAAGGACATTATATAAGGGTTCTGATTTCTCCACACATCAATGACCTTGGGTATTGTCTACTTGTTGACCATCTGATCACACTTCATCATGTTCTCTGTTGAGGTGTTTGTTCCTTTCTGTGTTAGGATATGAGTTGGCTACTACAAACGGAACTAAAGTAATGACTTAAAACAAACAAAAAACCAACCCAGAATCACTCAGTGTAAGCAGTCTAAAGATGGTGTGGCGGTTTGAATGAGAGTAGCCCTGTAGGCTCACAGATTTGGTCACCAGGGAGCGGCACAATTTCAAAGGATTAGATGGTGTGGCCTTGTTGGAGGAAATGTGTCACTGGGGTAGGTTTTGAGGGTTCAAAAGCTCAATAGAATCTCTCTCTCTCTCTCTCTCTCTCTCTCTCTCTCTCTGTCTATGGCTCAGGATGTCATTCTCAGCTACTGCTCTGGCATTTGCATGCCACCATGCTTCCCCATCAAGATAATAATAGACTAAATCTCTGAACTGTAAGCCGGCTCCCAATTGCTTTCTTTGCCCTGCTCATAGAACACTGGCTAAGACAGAGGGTTGAGAGTGGAGGTGTTGGATGGTTAATGCTCTCTGTTGACTCAACAGGATCTAAAATCACCTATGAAACAAGCCCCTGGGCATGTCTATGGAAGATTTCCTATACTGGGTTAGCTGAGCTGAGAAGATCCATCCTGGAGTGGGCTGGGGTCCTACACTTCAAAAAGAAGAAAAGTGAGCTGAGCTTTGCACTCCCTACTCTCCCCACCACCCAGCCCCTGCTTCCTGACTGTGGATGCAATGTGACCTGCTGTCTCATCATCCTGTCACCATGATTCCCTTCCTCGGATGGACTAGCCCTTTAAACTGTGAGCCAAAATAAATCCTCCCTTCCTTGTATTGCCTTTGCCGGATATTTCTATCACAGCACGAAGAAAAGTAATCAACTCAGATGGCATGGGGTCAATTTCCCATCTATTCTTCCATCACTGCACATTGCACTCATTCTCAGGATCCAACATGATTGACATCCACAGTGGGAAGCAGAAGCCACCCTGTTTCCCTTTAAAAGTCAGAGTCTGGAAGTTTCACATGTCACTTCTCCATATATCCATGAGCTGTGGTCTGGTGACATACCAATCAAGGACGATTAGGAAATACCTATTAGGCAACCATGTACCTGGCTAAAAATCACAGGTGCCATTCTTATAGAAGGGAAAAGCAGATGTTGGGGGCAGGCAGAACCGCTGTCCTATCATCATTGAGGTGCTTGGAGTATCATGGGATGTTTTAACTGTCACGCTGACTTACTTGTTCTGAAAGCTCACAGTGGAGCGTAACTTCCTAATAATTTTCTTTTTTAAGATTTATTTATTTATAATGTATACAGTGTTCTGCTTGCATGTATGCCTGCAGGCCAGAAGAAGGCACCAGATCTCATTATAGATGGCTGTGAGCCACCATGTGGTTGCTGGGAATTAAACTCAGGACCTCTGGAAGAGCAGTCAGTGCTCTTAACCTCTGAGCCATCTCCCCAGCCCCCTGACAATTTTCTCTACATGACAGTGCCTTGTGGGTCACTCAGAGCTGTGATTCTGGCTGACCTGCCCAGCACTCACCACTTCTGCCCTTCAGTCACCTGCCTTCTTCCTGTCCTTGTTTGCCTGGCTCTTGTTGATTTTAGGTTGATCTTTGACATGTTTTACTTGCACTTCAGTAATTTCTCAGATTTCATACATTCCTTAAAAAGGTTTTAAAAGTCTAAGTAAGTAAATATCCCCCAAGACTTAAAATTTTTTATGTAAAATCATAAATATATAAATATCAATCTTAATACAGTTGAGAAATATCTAACATAATATAGAGGTTGTAAGCTGTATTTTAGAAGGTAGAAAAAATTCTTAGAAATATGAAATTCATCTAAGTAAGCACTATCCGAGTGACAGTGTTAACAACACATTTGTCTTTCTATGCTTAGTGAATATTTCCATGTTCAGTGACTGGAGGGGCTCACAGTGGACTGAACTTTGGAGAAGCATTTGAAGTATAAGGCCAAAGTTGCAGGTTCTGTGTGGACGCACATAAGATGACTTATCCATGATGATAATTTATCATCCACCTCAGCTGTCCTTCTTAGCACTTTTCTATGGTTCCTGAAGGGGCACTTCAGACCCCACACTGATGTCACCCTGCTTCTCAGCCGCTTGCTCCACTCCTTTAAGGCCTAGGCTATCTCTCTACCACAGATGGCCCTGTCCCTGGATACCCAGCTAGAGCACTGGCCCACAGACGCTGTTCAGCCTAGAACAGCCCATAGACCAGCTTATGCTGCATGGTAGGTAGAAGGATATCAACCCAAGAATAGCCCTCCCACCCCAAAAAGGATGTTTGAGGTTAGAGTTATAAACCTTACTCAGAGCCTAAGATGCATTTAAAACACACACACAACCTTCTATTAGGGCTCAGAATAGTGACCTTAAATACGTACACACCAACATAAATTATACCCAGAATAAAAGCCATCTCTGGGTACCTCCACAAATACTATCCTTTCAATGAAATATCAGAATTAAAGAGCTGGGGTGTAGCACCGTTCACAACATGTCTTCTTAGCATATGCAAGGCCCCAAGTCCAGTCATCAGCACTACAAAGCAGAATTTTCTGAATGACTACAAGGAAATTAGCAAGCTGCATCAATGGGAATTCACCATTTGGTTTGGGTTGAGTTTTCTCAGCCTACTGAAAACTATTGAAATTTGGGGCTACATAATTCTTTTTCATAGGGGCTGTCCTCTGTATTATAAAATGACAAGCTGCAACTCTACCCATTACCCACTAGATCAGTGGTTCTCAACCTGTGGGTCATGACCCCTTTGGGTGTCATATATCAGCTATCCTGCATATCATATATTTACATTATAAGTCATAACAGTAGCAAAACTACAGGTATAAAGTAGTGACAAAATAATTTTATAGTTGGGGGTCACCACAACTTGAGGATTTGTATTAAAGGGTGCAGCACGGGAAAGGTTGAGAACTACTGTACTAGATGCTAATAGCAAGTAATCCTCCTAGTGGCAACCAAAATGTTTCTTTGCATTTGTACGCATGTGGTATATGTACATATTCATGTGGTGTGTGCATGTGTGCACATGCATGTGTGTGTATATATGTGGAAGCCAGAGGTGGGTGTCAGGTGTCTTCCTTCATCACTCTCCATTTCATTTATTTTATTTATTTTGTGTGCATAAATGCATACTTCATAGGGGGTGAGGAGACAATGGGTCACAGCATGCATGAAGAGGTCAGAGGACAACTTTCAGAAGTTGGTTCTCTCCTTCCACCTTGTTCTGAGAAAGGCTGGCCCCTGTTATTTCTGAGCTATGTATCTCAGCCTACTTGGTCGGCAAGCTGCTGGCAATTCACCTATCTCTGCTTCCATCTCACTGTAGGAGTGCTGGGATAAAGATGTATCACATGTATCAGCTTTTGATTCTGGAGGTTGAACTCAGAACATCACACTTGTGCCACAAGCATCTTTATCCATTGAGCCACTGTCCCCAGCTCTCCTATCTATCTATCTATCTATCTATCTATCTATCTATCTATCTATCTATCTATCTATCTATCTATCTATCTACCTATCTATCTATCTATCTATCTATCTATCTATCTATCTATCTATCTATCTATCTATCTATCTATCTATCTATAGTTTTTTGAGACAGGGTTTTTCTGTGGAACTTTGGCTGTGGCTGTCCTGGAACTCACTCTGTTGACCAGGCTGACCTCAAACTTAGAGATCCACCTGCCTCTGCCTCCCAAGTGAGGAGATTAAAGGTATGAGCCACCAAGCACAGCCTCCACTGTTTTTTTTAAGAAGAGGCTCTCACTGAACCCAGGGTTCATTTATTCAGCTATGCTGGTGACCAATGAGCTCCAGAGTTCTGCCTATGTCTACTGCCACTATATCTGGGGGTCCAGGCACATTTTATTCCCCCAGGCACAAACTCTTGAATTCTAAGAGTTGAAGCAGCTCTGAAGTTCCAGTAATCTCAGAAATGAGGACTAACAGATATAGGAAAGCCAGAGAGCTGCACAATTAAGGTCACACTGACTAAATGATTAAGTAGGATTAACATCTTCAAATCTCTGTGGTGATAATCTTGTCAACTTAATTGGCTTTAGAAAGGCCTAAAGGATTAGCAAGGCACACTCTGGGAATGTCTGTATGCTGTGTCTTGACTTAATTGGTAGATCATTCCTTTGATGAATTCATACTATGATGGCATTGTTGGGAAACAGTGAACAACAGGAGGTGCCTTACTGGAGTAGGCAGGTCACCAGGAGGCATGTCCATAGAGACCACATCTTGCCCTGACCCCTTCCTGTATTCCCGTGTTCTTTTTCTTTGCTTCCTGATGGCTATCATGTAATCTTCTCTTTCCTCCTACTCCCTTCCCATGGTGATTGGGTTGACACCTCTGAAACCGACTCAAATTAAGTCCTCCTTTTTCAATTTTTCTCAGGTATCTTGGTCATATTAACACAAAGGTAACTCTAAGTTTCCAAGTCCTGTCTTCTTAGACACCTCAGTGACTTGGACCAGAGTTTTTCCCTGCCTTTGCAGTCTGTGCACATGGCATTCAGATCTCTGCATTGTGATGCCTCCTGAACAGGGTCTGTATACAACAAGCTTGAATCAAGGCCTCCAGCTAGGAAGTTGATATGTATATGCATGTATGTATATCAAGTTGATACATATCTCCTTAAAATATATATTTAAAATATTTAATATGTTAGGCTATACATACATATGTATGTGTGTATGTATGTATATTTCAAGGAGCTACAGATCGGGCCTGTGAAATATTCTGGTAACCTACTTATGTTTGCTTTATCAACCTTGGTTGCAAAACTGGGGGTCCTTCATGAGTCTACTGAAGAAAATAATTATTCTCAGAGGAATCTGAGCCCCTAAACACTTGCTCTGAAAGTTCACAGTGGAATTGTGTAGCAAGTTCCTCTGAGATTAAACATTCTAACTTGGAGGGAAGCTTGTTGAGACTCAGAATGTTTTAAAGGAAGGTGAAAAATCCCATCCTGCAGGGCACATGATAAAACTCAGGAAGTAAAGAATTCAGTAGCTTCAGAAGTGCCCCAAATGAACTAGATTTACTAGGTTCCTCCTTCCCCAAGCTTAGGTAAGAAGTAAGGACTGCTGGGAGATAGTCTCAGATAAGCAGAGCTGCCTAAAAGAGGCTCAGACCAGCTAAACCACCTGGACGAGGCAGAGGCCAGTGGAGCTGCCTGGAAGACACATTCTTTGACATATCAAGCTGCCTGCAAGTTGGTTGTGAGTGTGCTCCAGGGTTCCAACTTTCGTGGGCTGTCACTCATGCTGGGCAGGTTTTCGGTGATGCAGCCATCTTTGAGTCATTTCTGTTCTTGTTTGTACCCCCATCAACCCCCCCAACCCCCGACACACGTTCTTGTAAGTAACCCAACAAAACCCACTGTTTCATCAAGCTGGGCTTTGGGAGCATCTTTACTTCTGTCTGTGTTTTGTTCCCCATCTGCGGTGAGTAAATGCTGTTCAGATCTACTACTTTGTCACAAAATATCATCCTTAGTTCCAGACTTGGATGGATATATTGTGACCCCTAAGTAAGGTCAGTGGTAGAGAAAGGAAGACTGCACAATCACTGCCAACACGTGACAAAACACGATGGTGAGACAGGATGCTGCCGACCACAAGGAGGCTTTTGAGGAAGCAGAGGGTGAGTGGACACTGGGATTTGACTGTTCGTGTGGCCACCAACCCTTGACAACACCCTCCCTTTCCTGGCATATTCCCAAGTTCTTTGCCCTTCTCATCCAACTCTGCTCTTTCCATACTCTGATATGAAATTCTCTGTTCCCCACCCAGTAAGTAAATGTTAAAAAAAAATATATCAATAAGAAAATAATCATGGCTGGGCATGGTAACCCATGCCTTTAATCCCAGCACTCAGGAGACAGAGGCAGGGAGATCTCTGTGAGTTCGAGGCCAGCCTGGTCTACAGAGTGGTTTTCAGGACAGTTAGGGCTGTTACACAGAGAAACCCTGTCCCCAAAAGCCTAAATAAATAAATAAATGGGAGTAGGAAATAAAGTAGGAAATAAATAAAGAAAATGGGAGTAGGAAAAGAAAGATTTAGGAAAAAGAAAGTGACTCATGGCTTCCAAGTTGAAATGGCAAGAGCTTTGAACATCAATGAAGTCAATACAAAATGAAACAAAGAATGATGTCCCATCCTAGGGAATGAAAGAACCATCCACTAAACAGCACTTTCCTCAGAGCCAAAGGACGCTCTTTAGAAAGCTCTTCCTCCCCAGAACTCCAGTGTGGAATCTGAAATAAAAATATTATTAATATATGCAACATGTATTGAGTTATATGCTTATGATTTATGGACTTTACAACTCAATAAAATACAAATAATATATATACTGAAATTAGCATAACTTTTTCTTTAGTGTCCTTCTAACACACTGATTCTCCCAAGAAGAAACAAATAAAATTAGAACATAATGTAGCTGGGAATGATGGCATACACCTTTAATCCCAGCACTCAGGAAGCAGAGGCAAGTAGATCTCTGAGTTCAAGGGCAGCCTGGTCTACAGAGAGAGAGTTCCAGGACAGTCAGGGCTATATAGAGAAACAAAAAAAAAAATAACAAACAAACAAACATATATATATTATATATATATATTATATATATATAATATATATATGTGATTCTATCATACTTGTTTGCCTACCATGTTCTTAACTTACTTAGAGACGGCAACAGCTTTAACTTGTATTTTTCCATCAGGCAGTGTAATGGGTTTTATATACTTAAATGTATTGTTTTCACCAGAACCAACTTTCTTTAGGAAGTCAGGTTTGCTGCCATCCAGGGTGTAATATATGTTGACATCTGGGGTGTCTGAAAAATCCAGAACAGGATAATCATAATTAACACTGAAATAACAAGGCCCTGTATAAGTATAATCTCTTTAAAAAAGGACATACACACACACACACACACACACACACACACACACACACACACACACACACAGAGCAAAAGAATGATTCTGTTGTCTGTGCTAACACAGTACTTTGCATGAATGAATTCACTTCATCTATTCATCTATACTCCTGTATGAGGTAGGTCCTAATTTGTACCCATTTTATAGATGGAAACTGAGTACCTGAGAGACTAATGAACGTGCTAAATAACAAAGGATTTCCAGTGCTCACATGGTGGCTCACAACTCTGTAACTCCAGAAGCAAGGTATCTCTAATGCCCTCTTCTGGCCTCAGTAGGTACCAGGCAGGCATGTGGTACACTGGCAACATGTAGGCAAAACACCCATACACATAAAATAAAAGTAAAACTATTCTTAAGAAAGAAAATGGAAGTAGGAAAAAGAAAACTGAAGATTTAAGAAAAAGAAAGTGACTAAGGACCTCCAAGTTGAAATGGCAGTAGCTTTGAACAGCCTAATACACACAAAATTTGCAGAGCTATATGTTTATGATGTGTGGTTTACTCTGCTAGGCTGAGTACACAGCCCATGATCTTGAACCACTGTGCTCTCTGCCTGTCTGCCTGTCTGTCTGTCTGTCTGTCTCTATCTATCTATCTATCTATCTATCTATCTATCTATCTATCTATCTATCTACATACCTACCTATCTATCTATCTTATCATCCATATCATCACATTCCAATAGTAGTCTTACTTCTTCTAAGAGTCATAAGCCCATATGTTTAAATTATTAAACATGTTATCCTCTCAGATAAAAAAAGTAATAGCATAATATGTATCTTATCTTGGAAATCTTGAACTAGGGAGCCCAGAGGTAGCTCTACAAATGCAGATAAATATTTTTATACATTTAAACTATCCAAATTAAATAGATACATATGTAATTGGAATCTAAAAGTCTTTTAATACAAATATTGTTCATATGTCTTACTATAAAACTTATTTACATAGATTATATGCATAGATAAACAGATTTAATATTAAATATTATTTAATATTAAATACTACTACTAATACCTTGTTTCTGTAATAGTTAAGATTTATTTATTTGGTTTTTTTTTTTGAGAAAGGGTTCTCTGTGTAGCCTTGGCTGTTCTAGAACTCGCTCTGTAGATCAGACTGGCTCATATTCACAGAGATTCACCTGCCTTTGCCTTCTGAGTGCTGGAATTTAAAGGTGTGCACCACCACCACCTCGCTAAAATTTATTTTATTATATGATAAATCTTGTGTACCTCACATATACCAACTCAATATGTCAATGATATATACCAGTATACAACAACTTACTTAGTCCTCACAATGGCTCCACAGGTTGTAGATATGATTATCACCAGCTTACCATGACGACACAGTCACTCAGAAAAACTAAGTGATATGCTTAAGGTCATAGGGATTGTCAAACTGAAATTCAATCTCTAACCCTTTATACTGGAAAATTTGTATTTCTGGGTCAAATTTATTATCCCAGGAAAGTAATAAGCATCCTGAGAAAGGTTGGGGACACAACTGGATAGCTTACCTTGACTTAGGTGAGTCAAGAGGGTGTTGCAACTAGCAACCTATTCATTTTATTTAAATATATACTATTCAAACTGGTGTGGTGGTACACACCTGTAATGTGGGAGGCAGAGACAGGAGGATTGTTACAAATTCATGTCTACCTGAACTATATATATTGAGTTCAAGGTTTATTTGGGCTACATAGTAAGATCCTGTCTCACAAGAAAACAAACACATTCAAACCATCAAAGAACAACCCTTTCAATTTGTAGAAGATTTAGAAACTTCTAAAGCCCCAATATAGAAAACATACAAAGACATCAATCAGCAACACATGAATACAGAGTATGACAATGCTATTTTTTTTAACAATTCAAAATACATGTGATTCCTACCAGATTTCATTTCCAAAAGAGTATTGGTATCAATTTCATGGTTAGCTTTTCCAGGCTGAGGCACTCGCAGTGGTATGATCTGAGGGGCACACACTGAACCAGCAGTCATGTTTTCTCCTTATACCGGAAAAAAATTAGATTAAGAATTCCATCATGAACCTATATCTGAACACAAAAACTACAGAGTACCATTTTCAAAAATGCAGCAAGCCAATAAAACTTAAAGAGAACATCATTAATATGCCACCTACTGATAATGCCCCATTTAATTAATGAAATGATTATTACATTCCAGCTGTATATCTGCTACTGGATAGTCACTTAAATGCTTTACATCTAATACAGGCGCCCAGATGAATTCGATAGGAGATTGGAGCCATTTTAAATGGGCAGATTAATTGAGTGAGGCAGTACAGAATCCACCATTAATATTCTGACGTCGGTTCCTTCAAGATCATTCACTCTTCACCGCCTTCAGCTAGTGCACACATGCACACTCACTCTCCTGACTTCAAGGCAGCTCATTACATAAAGGGAGCAAATAGCTTTGCCTGTAGCACGAATTATTTAGAGCCAGCTTTCAAAAGACGCACTAAGCCCCGCAGCCTCACCTTTTCTGTTGCAGTATATTGCGTATCCGAAAGCTGCAAAGACTGCAGAGCATCAGCTCTCAATAGAAAGGAAGGTGACGTAGATATAAATCAACAAACACCGTTTCCTATTCGCTCCACTGTCTTGTAAATAACTACCACGACGGGGGGGGGGGGGGGGAGCGCGGAGGAGGGGGTTATGGGTCTTTTCTCTGAGGTTGAGAGGAGCCATCTTGGCACAGCATTTACACCTTGCATCACTCTTTCAATTATGGCTAAATAATCATTCAGTTATAATGTTACATATTCATCCTACTTTTATAATCAACATTTTCACCCTCATTTTTACAGTTTTTCATGCAACAATTTGTTGTTCGATGGTGAGGCTTTTTTTTTTTTTTTTGAGATTGGTAATTGGAATTCTGATAACGTTGCTCTGAACATCTTTGCGTTTTGACATACCTTGTTCTGGAAAATGGGATAATTAGATTTAAAAGATTAATTTCCAGTTTGAGGGCCAAAAATAAAAACTACGGGTAATTCAACCTTAGGAAATGAGGCTGGAGGTAGAGGGATTTGCCTATATTCACATTTCCTTTCGAGTGAGAGGCAATTAAAATAAAGATAGCCGAAAACTAGAATCTAAATAAACACAGTTTATTTGCTCACGGTTAGCTATTAGCTGCCCTTGGAAGGCTGGGGTGGTCAACGCATCTCATGCGAAGGAAATGGAGAAGGCTGATTCGCTAGGTCCAAACTGCAGCCTGCTGTCAGTGTCATGCCACCAGCATCCCCCAACATCCTTCACCTGGACCATCTCCTCGCTGCCCAGACCAGGACCCGGAGCCTCGTCAAGCCCTCGGCTTTGCTACGCAGTTAGAAACGCCTGGATCCCTCCCAACCGAATGCGTGAGGCCCTCTTACTCACCTTCCTCCAGCCTCAAGGACAGAGATAAGGACCCCCGACGCACCTTAGCCGCCGCCAACCGGGTGGGTGTCTAGTCTCTAACGCCTCACGACTGCTCCTCCGCTGCAGCTTGGGTTACCACAGACGCTGCAGCTCGCGCCCCGCCCACCGGGAGACGAGCAGATGATTGGCAGGGAAATCGACTGCCTAGCAACCAGCCCCGCCCTTGTCTCTGGCTGCCCAGACTGTCTGGTACCCGCCCCCAGCTCTGTCTGAGGGGCTTTGCTGTAGGCGTCCAAGAATATGCCTTCTCAGCGGCTGGAAGGGCGTGAAAGGGTGCGCCCCTATTCAGCGTACGGGGGACCGAGCCTTTAGTCCGACAGGCACTGAAATTCGGGACAGCAGAAAGGGGAATCTGTGGCGACACTGCTGAGCAGAGCGGAGCAGGCGCAGCACGGACGCCCCAAGCCTACCGACGAAGAAGGCCGGCGCGACCGGACAAAGAAGGCCCCTCTCCCGCCCGGCGCGCGCCTCTGCCGGTCCCCGGGACTTGCAGCGCGCTCCCCGGGGCAACTTTTTCTCTAGTCTCGGAAACCGCCCTAATGGCTGAGGTGAAGGTGAAGGTGCAGCCGCCGGACGCGGATCCGGTAGAAATAGAAAACAGGTAATGCAGCTAGGTTCCCGACCCTGGGTGGGCAGCCGGACCCCTTCTCTCGCAGTCCCGGGGAGTGGCCGGAGCAGGCTGGGTGAGCACGCAGGAGCCGAATTGCTAGGTTCTGGCGCCCCCCTCCCGACTAGGAAGAGCAACGTGACAGCTTGGAACCTTATGTAACTGGCTTCGCCAGAATTCTGTTATAGTAGTAAGGACATACTTGGAACCTGACAGTGGCTAGTGCCTGAAAAGAGATCTGCATTTTCCCCGTAGTACTTGGGCATGTTCGAATTCATGTTCCATTTTAGGATTGCTCGGTGGCCAAAGGAAGGGAACCTTTGGGCCAACTCAGGCTTCAATTTGTTGATTACAAAGCATCATTGAGCCAAATAGGTTCAGTGAGACCTTAAAGCTAATACTTCTCCAGAGCGAACAGATATTTTTAGGTTATAACGTAGGTAAAAGACAGCAACTTTCGCAACGGTTGTGGATAATAAGTTTATTACTCCAAAGGCGATATTTGAATTTGTTTGGAAGAGATAATTTAGCAAACAGACTCCAGTTGTGAATCACCATATCACACCCCCGCCCCCAAATTCCACATTTGCCTTCAGCCGACAGACCCAATGGCTTCACTCTGTTGTACTTATTTCCATTGATAGCACTGAGGTTTCAGCTTTAATATCTAACCATAATGTATCTCCCTCATTTGCCTTTTGAAACAAGCAAACATAAATCATTAATGAAAGGTTTCAGTACCCCGATACTGGGTTTCTCCGCTGATGCAGTAAATCAGATCAGGCCAAATTAAAAGTGCAGGTTTAAGTTGGGCGGTGGTGGCGCACGCCTTTAATCCCAGCACTCGGGAGGCAGAGCCAGGCGGATCTCTGTGAGTTCGAGGCCAGCCTGGGCTACCAAGTGAGTTCCAGGAAAGGCGCAAAGCTACACAGGGAAACCCTGTCTCGAAAAACCAAAAAAAAAAAAAAAAAAAAAAGTGCAGGTTTAATGAGCAAAGTACCCCGGGGGTGATCCTGGGGGAAGATATCAGGAGAGGAATCTAGGCAGGTCTAGGGACCAAATCTTAAAAACCCTGTAGATGTGTTCTTGAGCATTTCCGGGGGAGGATCCAACCCTTGGATTTCTGAGGGGCGGGGTTTGGAATGGGGGAGTGAGACCAGAGCGGAGATTCCCAATGTCTAATACCTTTATTCCTAGAATTATAGAATTATGCCACCAGTTCCCTCATGGAATCACAGATCAAGTAATTCAAAATGAAATGCCTCACATAGAAGCCCAACAACGAGCAGTGGCCATCAATAGACTGTTGTCCATGGTAAGGTGAATTCAACTAATTCATGTAATCTGTTATATATTATGATTTCCATTGCTTTCTGTCACATAAGGGAGGTGAGATTCCTAGATATCTGGCTCTATGCTGTTTCTGGGATGTTTTGGAATATGGTAGTATTTGAATTGCTGAACTGAGAATAGAAAGTGAGTGGGTACCATTCAATCTAGTATCACCCTAAGTAGAACACATAGATGGAGGACAGGGGAATTTACTCCAGACCTACTTTGAGTTCCAGTACCAATCTTCTGTCTTCACCACTCTTTGTTCTTAGGCCTTCAGATTCCAGCTACACATTGACTTTCAATCTCTAAGGCTAATGCAGCACATCTATCTCATTGATCTGTGCCACTGGCCTTCTTGAGGCTCTCTCTTGCAGGAGGTAGATTACAATAGTTCTCACCCACCATAATCACATGAACTAATGCATGATAAGCCTCTTTTTAGTGAAGCAGTACACTAATTGTAAAGCCTAAAACTGTGACTTGATTCCAAGCCAGGGAAAAGACTAGACTGTCTGAACTGAGGGAGAAAAATAATTATGTGCCATTTGACAAGATGAAGAAACTATGTGCAATTCTGTTATAACGGTGTTATTAACTTAATACAAAAGCACACATGGGTGTAGTCTGTTTTCACCTTCTGTAGCTAGAGTTTTCCTGCCTGGCCCACGGTCAGGACAAATCTCTCTCACCCGCCAGTCCCACAGCCACTCAGACCTGACCAAGTGAACACAGAGACTTATATTGGTTACAAACTGTATGGCCGTGGCAGGCTTCTTGCTAACTGTTCTTACAGCTTAAATTAATCCATTTCTATAAATCTATACCTTGCCACGTGGCTCGTGGCTTACCGGCATCTTCACAAGCGGCTTGTCATGGTGGCGGCTGGCAGTGTCTCTCTCACCCAGCTTCCTGTTCTCTCAATTCTCCTCTCTGTTAGTCCCATCTATACTTCCTGCCTGGCCACTGACCAATCAGTGATTTATTCATTGACCAATCAGCAACACATGTGACATACTGACCATCCCACAGCAACCTTCTTTTGCTTTCTGCTGCTAGCACTTAGCCATTCCCTATAAACTATTTCCACTGTGATTTTTCTGTGGGTTATCACATAGCCTATTCATTGAGTGTCACAGTGTCACTCTGAGCTTTTCAAGAGCAGGAAGGCCTTTGGGAAGAAGTACAGCCTCAGCTTCCAGAGACAGTGCAGTGGATTTTTCAGTGAAACCCAAGAACCTGGAGCCCTAATGCCTGTCCTCCTCTAACTTTGGAAAAATACCCCACCAAGTACTGCCCCAGCTGTGCTTTAAATCTGCTTGTGTTGCTCTCCTTTCTCAAGCCATTAAATTCTCTTTTCTTATGCATTTCAGTTTTGTATTATTAGCAGTTAGTTAAAGGAGTCCTTAAAACTTTGAAACTTCTAGCCTTGTCTTACGTCTAAAGGCTCTAGATAGGGAGACTTTAGGGATAGATGAACCTCTTGTGAAGCCTTTGCCTTCACCTTTTGAGATGAGAATTTGGCAAACTTTCCCTATGAACTGGTAAATAAAATATCCTTTGTGACCCATCTGGTTTCTGTCACAACTGTATCACTTGTCATTTTAACAAGAAGCAGCCTTGAGCCATGAACAGTGATGTGTAAACAGATGGGTGTGGCTTTTTCTGATAAAATTTTATTAGTAAAAAAACAAGCAGTGGGCTAGTGACTTCTGTTTCCACCCAAGGAGAAAGAAGTGTTGGAGATTTCTGGGCTTCCTTTTTCTGTGTAGAATGACTCCTTGTCCTTCAGGACTCAGCTCTGTTGCTGTCTCCAGGAAGCTACCTGGAGTCCCCAGGTTGGCCACAGTCATTTCTCTGAGTGTGCATCCACCCTTGTTGTTTCTCTCTTAATGCCAACCAGATAGTGTCGAAGTCATCTATTGTTGGTTTATGCTCTTTTCTCTTTTGGGGGGCCTGCCACCCAGCCCCCAAGTAAATCACACATTCAGGCTTATTCTTAATTATGAATGCCCAGCCTTAGCTTGGCTTATTCTTGCCAGCTTTCCTTAAATTATCCCATCTACCATGTGCCTCTGGGCTCTTCTTGTTCTCTTACTTCTGTAAATCTTACTCTTATTCCATGGCTGGCTGTGTAGCTCGGTGGCTGGCCCCTAGCGTCCTCCTTCTCTGGCTCTTTTCTCTTTCTCTCATATTTCTCCTTCTATATCTTCTCTCTGTCTGCCAGCCCCATCTATCCTTTCTCCTGCCTTGCTGTTGGCCAGTTCTTTATTAGACCATCAGGTGTTTTACACAGGCACAGTAACACAGCTTCACAGAGTTAAACAAATGCAACATAAACAAAAGTAACACACCTTGAAATAATACTCAACAGCAGTCATCTTTGTGCTTCCCTTTTAGGATTTGTTTTGGCCTGGGGGTGTAGCTCAGTGGTAGAACACTCACCTAGCTTGCATGATGTTCTGTGTTCAATCCTCAGTCCTATAATTATATCAGCAAATTGTCACCTTAAGCAGCTATCTTAACAATGGTACAGTACAGGTGTTTAGTAAGTGACTAGAATAGGCTGAATAAATGACAGAAGGAAACTTCTGAATTGAGTTTTGTGATCCCATTTTGCTATTTGGCGAATTGGGGAAGGAGGTAGGGTGTTGCAGTTTGTATAGTATGTAAACTGTTTATAGTCTTAACACACAGTAAGGCCCCCTCTTGGTTATAGTTTCCTATAACTGCTGCAAGTCCAGAGGTGCACACATCTGGATTCTCCAAATGTTAGACCAGACCCAAGGAGGTTAAGAAGCATGGTAGAATATGCTTTATTTTACTTTGCTTCATTATATAAAATACCACCACTAAAGGCCTTTTGTTCATTGGCTGACCTTTCTGCCTAATTCTACCACAGAATTAAAATTGTACGTTTTAGTAAATGTCACTAATAACACTATAGTTTAACTTTTAGTGTGCTGTTGAAGATTCATGTTTATACTTTATCTGGACTGAATTTTTATTAATACGAATTGTATTTTAATTAAAATTACTCATATTTTATATAATTTGGACTTACTTGAATTTCAATATGGATTTTTATCAATTATCCTAAAAAAGCTTTTAAAAAAAGATTTATTTTTATTTAATGTGTGTGAGTGTTTTGCCTCTATGTATTGTCTGTGCACTGCATGCATGCCTGGTACCCACAAAGGCTAGAACGGGGCACTGGATTCCCTGGAACTGAAGTCACAACGCTGTTGTAAGCTGCCATGTGGGTGCAGAGAACTGAACCCCAGTGAGCAGCAAGTGCTCTTAAGTGCTGAGCCATCTCTTCAGCTCCCAGGGTTAAGAGCACTTGCTGCTCTTACAGAGGACTTGAGTTTGATTCCCACTACCCATATACATGATGGCGCACACCTGGCTCTAACTCCAGTTCCAGGGATCCAGTGCCTTCTCTGGCCTCCATGGGCATTGTATACACATGACTCACAGACATACATGCTGCAAAATACCGGTGTATGCCAGGCGGTGGTGCACGCCTTTAATCCCAGCACTTGGGAGACAAAGGCAGAAGGGTCTCAGTGAGTTCAAGGCAAGCTTTGTCTACAAAGCGAGTTCCAGGACAGCCAGGACTGTTACACAGAGAAACCCTGTCTTGAAAAGCCACAACCAAAACAAACAAACAAACAAACAAAATAACATATTCATTAAAACGTTGTTTATGCCCTGGCCAAATAACCAAGCCAAGGTAGCATTTGGTGCATTGTTAGTATCTCCAACTTGAAATACCTTGAGATAGTTAAGTTTTTTAAGATCCCTTGTTTGTGATGTGTAGGCAAAATTCTTGGTCTCAGATGAAGAACTGACAAATGGGAGAGACAGAATAGTTTAGTCTGTGTAATAGACACATTTAAAACTGTATTAACACTTACAATCAGAATTAATGTATTTCCAGAGTGATTGATTACAGTTTCCTATTTTAAAACACTTTAGGGTCAGTTGGATCTTTTAAGGAGTAATACGGGCCTCTTATATAGAATAAAGGACTCTCAGAATGCTGGGTAAGTAAGCACCTATTTTTTAATTTTAAGAAATTTTGATTATTATAAAAATAATGTATGTATTAGAAAAAAAGCTAACATAGTAACAGGTATTGTGGCACACACCCATATCTCAGGACTTGGGAAGTAGGGCAGAAAGTTTAATGCCATCCTTAGCTACATAGCAAGTTCAGGGCCAGCCTGAGCTATGTGAGACTGTCTCAAATAAATTGTGTGTGTGTGTGTGTGTGTGTGTGTGTGTGTGTGTGTGTGTGTGTGTACAATATATATATATATTAATGTGTGTCAATGTTGTGTATGTGTGTGTCTGTCTGTCCGTCTGTACATAATGTAGCAAAGTGTGGTGGTGCACACCTATAATCCTGACACTTGGGGGGCAGAGGCAGAAGGATCATGAGGTGGAAGATGGTTTAGGCTATACTTCAAAAGACCCTGCCTCAAAATAAGAAAACAAAAACTGATGTAAACTCATACCATCCCTGCTCTCTGTCCTGTGTTTCCATTTCCCAGAGTAACTATTCTTGGTAATTTCTCCTAGATAGACATAGATGATTATATATTTATATATTATCTCTTTCTTTCTTTAAAAAAAAAACAAACCCAAAAACTGGATCATGCCATCCATACTGTTCTGTAACTTTTTTTTTTCACTTATTGTACTGTGAACATCTTTTCATGTTAGTACACACAGCTCTATCTTCATTCTTTTTAAGGTAAGCCCTTCTTTTGCTAAATAAGTCAGTGTGGTAGCTTTGTCTGCTGATTAACTTAAGTAGTTTTGCATATGATAACACAGCCCATATTTTTTTAATTCTGCTTTATTCCCTGCAGTAAAATGAAGGGGTCTGATAACCAAGAAAAACTAGTCTACCAAATCATAGAGGATGCAGGGAATAAAGGTGAGCATATGAAGGATGATGCATTGTCTAGGTCTAGACTTAAAGTGTTTTTCTTGTTCTATATATTTTATTTTTAAAGAGAGGATCCCACAATGTAGACCAGGCTTTCATGCCTTCTTACCTTCTTGCCTCGTCTTCCTAAGTGGTGGGATTGCAGGCATGCCCTGTCACATGCAGCTAAGCACGTATGTTTTCTACATATTCTCATTCTGCATGTACAACTTTCTTTCTTTGAAAGAAAGCTCATTACTTCCCACAACGGGTATTTAGTGAATGTAAGAACCACAACCTTATTTTTTTCTGTTTTATAGAATAGAATGTTGTTTTTTGTTGGTTGGAGATGGCAGATAACCCCAATCTAACTTTAAGTTCCTTTTTTTCACTTTTACAGTCTTAGGTGAAACTGTCAGACAGTTGAGATTAGGTAAAAGATTGGATGAGAGCTAGAATGCAAGTTAATTCAACAGCATTCATATGTTTTTCTTTCCATTACAAAAAAGGATCTTGTTATATATTTTTTAGAAGATGTCCCGCTAGGTAATGAGGCACCCCTTTATCCTAGGACTCGGGAGGCAGAGGCAGGTGGATCTCTGAGTTCATGGCCAGCCTGATCTGTGCAGCAAGTTCCAGGCCAGCCAGGGCTGCATAGTGAGGCCCAGTCAAAGAAAAAAACACACTGAGATTCCAAGAAATTTCCAGTCAGAATATAAAACGTACACCTGGTTACTGACTTGTACTTTTGTTTCTTTATCTTTTTTTTTTTTCTTTTTTTGTCGTCAGGCTCTTAAGTTTCTGAAAACAATTATAAAACGTTGTGTTAAAGGATGTGCTGTCAGCTTTCCTACTGTCTTACAGGAATATGGAGCAGAGATATTCGATACAAAAGTAACTTGCCATTAACGGAGATCAACAAAATTCTCAAGAATTTGGAAAGCAAAAAGCTTATCAAAGCCGTGAAGTCTGTAGCAGTGAGTAGTTGGCCTTCTGGGTTTCCCTGCATAGTCACTTAAATAAGCTCTTCCCCTGTGTTTTCAGCCTTTCAGTCTTTAACTCAGGCTGGATTTAAGACAAATGTTTTAAAAGGACTACAAATTGAGTTCCTGTCATGCTGACCTGAGACTGTGGCCTGCTGCCCTCTTGGTGTCGCGCCTGTGCCAAACTTCGTGCTATTTTCTGCAGTAAGGAAGTCTGGAGCCCTGAGTATTTTCCTAGTTTTCGTGTTGTGTGAGATAACTCACGTTATCTTACTCAGCAAGTGTCTATTGATTGGGCCATGGCACCTACTGCTCTGGGCTTGGATTACATTTAATAACCAAGTCAGAGAAAGAAACCAAGTCCTGTGTTTCTACACCATGTTTGTGGTTTCCTTTTCTTTTCTTTTTTTTCCCCTCTATATCTGGAATATTCAGTGATAAAAAGATGACCTATTGTGAAGACATGGAGTGATCTTTTTCCTTTTTTTTTTTTTTTTTTTTTTTTTTTTTTTTTTTGGTGTTTTGAGACAGGGTTTCTCTGTGTAGCTCTGGAGCCTGTCCTGGAACTCTCTCTGTAGACCAGACTGGCCTCGAACTCACAGAGATCCGCCTGTCTCTGCCTCCCGAGTGCTGGAACTAAAGGCGTGCACCACCTCCGCCCGGCCAGCATGACTTCTTATACCAAGCAATAGGCATTAACGTCACTCCATGTGCTGGGCAGTGGTGGCGCACGCCTTTAATCCCAGCACTTGGGAGTCAGAGCCAGGCCGATCTCTGTGAGTTCAAGGCCAGCCTGGTCTACAGACCAAGATCCAGGATAGGCACCAAAACTACATGGAAAAACCCTGTCTCAAAAAACCAAAAAAAAAGTCATGCTGACAAGACAGCACATTGTGATTCCAACAAAGTGACACTGTAGGAAAGTTAAGACAGTAAAAACACAAACATTTGCCAACCTTGGAAGTAGGGTCGTAGGAAAAATTGAGTAGATGAAGCACAGGCAGTGTTTTGGGGCAGCTAAACTATTGTATATAACATGAGTGTTAAGCATGTGTTGAAACCTATAGACAGAGGACAGAGTAATCTTTTTTTAAAGATGTATTTATTTATTATGCATACAATGTTCTACCTGCATGTATGCCTACATGCCAGAAGAGGGCACCAGATCTCATTATAGATGGTTGTGAGCCATCATGTGGTTGCTGGGAATTGAACTCAGGACCTCTGGAAGAGCAGCCAGTGTTCTTAACCTCTGAACCATCTCTCCAGCCCTCAGAGTAATCTCAATAGCACTGTTTTATTTTATTTTGAGAGAGAGGTCTGGTAATGTAACCAGGGCTGGTCTTGAATGCAGGCTCTTTTCTGCCTTAACCACCTGAATGCTGGGATTTACATTTGTATGCCACCATGCCCAGCTGTCTGCATCATTTTTTAACTTTTTAAGTTACTTAGAAATTGGGGGAGTGCCAGAGTGGAATGTGGAATGTAGAACTAGAAACAAGGGGTTGGGCATGGCTTAACAGTTAGAAGCACTGGCTGCTCTTCCAGAGTACTCAGGTTTGATTCCTAGCACTTACACGGTAGCTCACAACCATCTGTAACTCCAATTCCAGGGGATCTGATACCCTCTTCTAGCCTTTGTGGGTAACAGGCACAGATATACACAAATCTCACACACATTTAGTAAATGATTTTTTTAATTAAAAAACAACTAAATGTGGCAGAATTTTGGAAATCACACCACTAGGGGTTGGAGGAATAGGGGCTAACCTCAGTCCTTGTAGAAATGAATGGTGTCTCTAAAACTAAAGACAAAGGAAAATGTACTGAACTACCACACCATGTCTGAACCAGTGTTCTTTTCCTTCCCTTGAGGCTCCTGATCCTACCGTACATAGAGAACCGTGGGCAGTGCCAGCTTCAGTCTAGTTCTGACTTGGTTAGAGGCACTGTCCACTTCCCCCAAAGGTGGCCCTCACTTTAGATGACTGTCCAAGTTCTGTAACTCTGCTATCTTTGCAGCAATCTGTACATCTAAAAGTGTCCTAACATATAAACTTTAGTTTGCAAGTTTAGTTTCTGGAAAAGGTTATAAACGAATGATCTGTGTATATTCTTTCCTAGGCCTCCAAAAAGAAGGTTTATATGCTCTATAACCTGCAACCAGACCGATCTGTGACTGGTGGAGCCTGGTACAGTGACCAGGATTTTGAATCTGAATTTGTTGAGGTGCTTAACCAACAGTGTTTCAAATTCCTACAAACCAAGGTGAGTTCATTAAGGAAACATCACAGGCCCTTTAAAAAGCTGCTTCATGAAAGATTTACTCTTGTATATCGTATTTTGTAAGATCGAAAATGCTAAAATTGGGAATTTTTGTTAAACAATGTGCTGCTGTTGGTGTGGCACATGTGTTAACTTCAGAAAACCCTAACATGCATTCTTGTTTGAGTCTCTTGTTCTAACCTTACAGGCAGAAACAGCAAGAGACAGTAAACAGAATCCAATGATTCAAAGAAACAGTTCATTTGCTTCATCACATGAAGTGTGGAAGTACATCTGTGAATTGGGCATCAGTAAGGTGAGAGCTTACTTTCTACACTGTCGTATAAGGTGTAGTCTTCCTCACAAGGCTGTAGCTTACAGTATATTTGACCCAGCCCCATCTCAGTACACATTCTGCTGAACCCACTTTGGAAAATCACTGTCCTAAAGTAGGCAGAGGCCCTCCTGGTGGTCTGACTCTGGCTGAACACAGTCCTGGCAGCGACGTTCACCACCCAAAGTCAAATTGTCTTGATAAGTTCTTGATTGTGTGACAGTTGAGCTTGCCACAACATTAGTGTCATTTATTGATAGTCTCTTACTTAATGACATGTAAATGGTATCATCAGCACCCTTTGAAGACCTTTACGTAAGGACACTGATGGTTTTCATGGTCAGCAAAGAAGCCAGAGTGGCATTTGCACAAGTCATTTTTACTTCCTGGTTCCCAGATTTCTCACTGATAAAAAACTAGGAACTAGAATTATTTCATGGCTCAAGTGTCTCTCTGCTTTAAGACATTTTAAGATTCTCCATCAACTGGGAGGCAGAGGCAGGTAGATCTCTGAGTTCTAGGCACGAGTTCCAGGACAGCCAGGACTACTCAGAGAAACCTGTCTTTCGGGGGGGGGGGGGGGGGGGGGGGGGGGGGGGGGGGGGGGGGAATAAATAAATAAATAAATCTCCATCGAATTCTTGGGGAGGGAGATTTCTTCTTTGTGGGTTTTTGGTTTTGAGTAGGCTCTTTGTTGTTATTTTGATTTTGTGTGATGCTAGGGATTGAACCCAGGGCTCATACTAAGTAAATGTTCTACCACTGAGCCTTTTTAGTGGTTTTGTTGTTGTATCATCGTGTCCCAACCCCTACCCGCATTCCATCAAATTCTTGCCAAAAAGAATCTTACCTCATAAGGCTTTTGAGGTTTTGGTTTGATTTTTTTTTTTTTTTTTTTTTTTTTTTTTTGGTTTTTCGAGACAGGGTTTCTCTGTGTAGCTTTGCGCCTGTCCTGGAACTCACTTGGTAGCCCAGGCTGGCCTCGAACTCACAGAGATCTGCCTGGCTCTGCCTCCCGAGTGCTGGGATTAAAGGCGTGCGCCACCACCGCCCGGCCTTGATTTTTAAGAATGGTGAGGCCATCAGTCAGTGTGAGGCTCAGCATGAAGTTAGACTTCTGTCCTTAGCATTTCAGTGGTTTGTGCTGATGTGGACTGTTACTTGCTCTCTTTGTGCCTTCCTGTACTCTTCCCCAGAACATGGCTTCTCCGCCTCACTGTGACTGCTGTTTATAGTACCTTCCTGAAAGGATGTTTCTTTGTCCTTTATGCATGCTTTCTAACATACCTCCTTTCTAGGTAGAGTTGTCCATGGAGGACATTGAAACCATCCTGAACACACTCATTTATGATGGGAAAGTGGAGATGACTATCATTGCTGCAAAGGAAGGCACTGTTGGCAGTGTAGATGGACACATGAAACTGTACAGGGCAGTCAACCCAATCCTCCCACCTACAGGCTTAGTCCGGGCACCCTGTGGACTCTGCCCTGTAAGTAAAAGCTGCTTCACTTTCTGCTTTTATCACCACCGTGTGCAAATGCCACATAAAAAAAAACAAGAGGCACACCAGGCTTCTCACCAACAAGTGTCACGTGAGCTATTCAAACCACCACAGACTCCCGATGGACAGATCATTATTGAATAGGTCTTACGTTATTTCTTGGAACATTCAGGGTAGAGACATACCCTTCTGTGCTTGACCCTGAAATGGATACATTTTTATTGGGACTAACTATTTCTCCTCTGTAGGGAGGGAAGTGAAATTTGTTGAGAAGCTACCACGAGCCAAACTTACTCTAATCCTTCCATGTCCTTGGTGCTAGTGGCATTATTTCCCCTAGAGAGTGAGGGAACTTAGGCTAAGTGTAACTCGGTGGCAGAACACATGCTTAGTATACACAGGGCCTCTCACCCCAGATTTGAACCCCTAGTACCCTCCCCCCAGAAAAACTTAGACTTAAGCAGAAAATATCACTTAGAGTAAATTTGGAGATAATGTTTTCCCAGCGTGCCTTAGCACTTTCACTCATTCATTCCTAGGTGGTTTATGAACACTGTGCTGGACATCCTGAGGCTATAGAGAGCAAAAAGCACTTCTTATCCTTGTGGCATTTATATTCTTGGGCTGCTACTCTGCCTTATCATTATGATAATCCTTGTCTGTACCCCTAAGCTCTCTGTGACTCAGTTTCAACTTCTAGACAAAAGCCAACATCCTGGAAATTCTACTTAGCACCTTTCGAAGATAGTTGAACATGAAACATCCTTCAATTTAGTACAAATTAAGTTGTCCATAAGTATAGGACTCACTTCCTTCACTCCTGTGCACCTACTGATAGCCTTTGACTCAGTTGGCATGTGGATGGGGTCACCTTTATGCTGTATTAATTGACCTCCAAGCCTGGCAGGATGGTGCACACCTTTAATCCTAGCACTTGGGAGACAGAGGCAGGCAGATCTCTGTGAGTTTCAGGCCTGCCTGTTCTACATAGCAAGTTCTAGGACAGCTGGAGCTACATACTGAGACCCTGTCTCAAAAAACAAACAAAAACTAACTAAAAATAAAAAGCTTATAGTTAACTATGATCACAGAGTAGACACTGTTACAGTGTGCTCTTAAATATAGTCCTAATCGCTTTCAAAGAGTGTTTTCTTTCTTTTAATACTGCTTTAAACCAGTGGGGTTTTGGTATTTTAAAACTTTAATTTGAATATAAACTTTTTATGTGTGTTTCTTTTTAAGGTTTTTGATGACTGCCATGAAGGTGGTGAGATTTCACCATCTAATTGTATTTACATGACAGAATGGCTCGAATTTTAGTAGAGAGCTGTGAATTTGACTTACATTTGGCAAATGAATTACTTGGAGAGCAAATAATTCGTGGTGGAACATCAAATTTCCTTGCAAGCATGCTTCTCAATGATGGATACTGACTTGCTGCTATGAAAACATATTTATTTATGAAGACAGAACACAAAGCAGATGAAGTTTAATAAAGTTGAATAGGGAAGTCTCTTCTGCAGTAAGTAAAATACCTTGAAGCTCTGGAAGACCAAGGAAAAAGAAGCCAGCAAACCTCCATTGACAAGTACTGGATAAATTACTTCTTCAGGTCTTCATTGACACTCATCATCAGGCTTATTACCACCATTTCTGTTTGTGTTTCTTGGGTTTTATTGAGAAGAAATTGGAGGTGGTGTGGGAAAGGAACATCCCTTTCCCACAGTTGGTTCCTCTTCTCCTCAGTGCTCTTCCAGAGGAGTATGCTGCCACACTGACTTCGCTCCCACATGCTGTTGTTCAGGACATGTCTCCATCCTAAAGGGGATAATCTCACAAGTCCTTTGTTAAGGCTGTAAATTTCTCTGATGGCTTAATTGTACTGTTTGCCAGAATTTTTTCCAGATTCTTACTTCATGCCTATAGTATGACCCTCTGCCACCAGCATCAAATTCAAATTTTGTAATCTGATCCCCATGTGAAATGTGATAAGTAGAACCTTTGGAAAGTGACAGATCGTGAGTGTAGAGTCCTCGTGAGTAGAATTAGGGCCTGTATAGGAGATACCCAAAGTGTTCCATTGTCCCTCTATCATGCGAGAGCACAGGGAAAAGAATAAGGAAGCAGGCCCTTGTTAGACAGTAAATCTACCAGCCCACTGGACTTCCCATCTTAGAATCATGATAACTAGATGTATTTTCTTGATAAACCATTAGCTGCAGTTCTCAGCCCATGGGTTGCAGCCCCTTTGGGGTTAACAGTCCTTTCAAGGGATCATCTGAGATCTTCAGAAAACATAGATATTTACATTACAGTTCATAACAGTAGCAAAATTAGTTTTGAAGTAGCAACAAAAATAATTTTACAGTTGAGGGTCACCACAACATGAGGAATTGTATTAAAGAGTTACAGCATTAGGGAGGTTGGGAACCACTGATCTACAGTGTTCTATTAAAGCAGATAGAAGAGATAGTATCTAATCTTTCAACTAAATTAAAACTAAAACTAGCTGTTTTTTTTTTCTCTCTCTCTCTCTGTCTGTCTCTCTCAATCTGTGCCTGTCTGTCTCTTTTTTTTCCTCTCTCTCTCTCCCTCTTCCTCCCTCTCCCTCCCTCCCTCCAAGGGTTTTTCTGTGTGGTCCTGGAACTTTGTAGACTAGGCTGGCCTTGAACTCACAGATCTACCTGCCTTTCCCTCCCGGGTGCTGGGATTAAAGGCTGCCTCTACTATGCCCAGTTTACTGTTTGTCTTCAAAGTTTCTTTATACAAGCCAAAAGCATGAGCCAACTGAATGTCTTAACACTCCACTCTTCTTTGGGGCTGAGCTCTCCCACCATTTGGCCGTGTTCTAAGTGAACAGCATTATTAGAGTTACCTTGAGATAATGGGACCAATAAAGTCATCATTTTTATCAGATGAATTCTATGAGCAGCTCTGTGGAATAAGCATTTAATGACACCAGCTCTTTTTAAGTGCTAAATTATATATAATATGCAGGTTTCTCCTCCACCTCTAGTGGGGGCTCCCATGGTATAAACTGTTTACTCTTCCTGGATCTGCCTGGCTTATCAAATAAGCACTAGTGTTATTTTACTAGAAAACTAGATATGTAGGGGAGTTACAAAAGGGAGAAAGAGTAGGTTTTTTTTTTTTTTTAATATGCTCTGTATTTTTTTTTTTTTTTTTTTTTTTGAGAAGAGTCTCTAGTCCACACTGGTTATGGTCTAGGCTGGCCTTGAACTCATGGTGTCCTGCTTTAGCCTCCCAAGTGCTGGGATTACAGGAATTTAGCAGGCATGCCTGGCTTTGTATTGTCTTGATAATTAGATACTAAGTTTTAAATTTGCAGTCAGTGGCTAGAAGTGTTGCCTCACCAGAATAAAGAGACACTTAAAAAGGGTTTCCTCATAGCATAGTTTTTGCTTGTAGCATATTATTTACTCTGAGTATTAACTGAGAGGGATAAATAAATTTTAAAAATGTAGCAACTGTGCTATAAATAAAATGAATTTGCCTACAGAGACAAGCTGTCATCAAAAGAAACTGTGGGCCTCTAAAATCATGATGCCACAAAGTCAAACTGCAGATGACTTTGGTCTTTCCCACTTGGTAGCAGGTATTTTCTTCACCTGAGAATGCATACTTTAGTCTGTTGAGGACCCTGTTTTAAAGTGATCCATAAAAAAATTAGACACCACTGGAAATGGTGGTACACACCTTTAATCCCAGCACTTGGGAGGCAGAGGTAGGTGCAGGTGGATCTCTGAGTTCGAGGCCAGCCTGATCCTACAGAGCAATTTCCAGGACAGCAAGGGATATACAGAGAAACCCTATCTTGAAAACAAAATAAAATTTGACATCCTAAATACCTTTAGTGTTTTTTTTTTTTTTTTTTTTTTGGTTTTTCGAGACAGGGTTTCTCTGTGTAGCTTTGCGCCTTTCCTGGAACTCGCTTTGGAGACCAGGCTGGCCTCGAACTCACAGAGATCCGCCTGGCTCTGCCTCCCAAGTGCTGGGATTAAAGGCGTGCGCCACCACCGCCCGGCTAATCCTTTAGTGGTTTTTAATGAATAGTTATGTGAATTCTTACATGAAACTTCCAATTTGTCAATAAATGTTTTATATAAAGGTTTTGATGGTGATCAATTAAGCAAAGTAGTCAAATAGTTCAATTCCATGATGGAGCACATGCTTGGTATGAGGCCCCTGGCCCAACCATCAACAGTGAAGGGAAGAAGTGGTGGCAGATTTACTATACGCCCAGTGAAGGACAGATACAGAATATGTGCCCTGCAGCAGTGTGCTCCAGTAAGACAGGATCTTGAACTCAATCCCACCTCTACCTCCCTCCTGCTGGGCTAGAGGTATGTACCATAACATCTAGCCAAGTAGCATTTTCTATCATGATGGAAACAGTCGGTATTTGGTGTTTAGTACAGTAACCTCAAGCCAGCTGGCTAGCCAGCACTTGAAACAAGTGATTAAAAAACAAGGCTTTATTTAGTTGCCTGTGGGTATTTCTTATATTAGACAGCACAGTTCAACAGAGAGCTTTCTTGTATTCTCTCCCTCCAGGGATTTCTGAATCTCACACTGAAATGTATGAGTTTATAATTAAGATTTTAAACAACTCACTTTAAAGTTAGGTTAAAACAAATTAATTTAAAAACATTAATAGATATATCTAATGTAAGCAGACTCTTTAGCAGTGATTGGACCAGACCTATAATCCAAGTCTGCTTGCATTTGAGATTAATAATTATTTTACTCTGCTTTTGTTTTTGAATTCTTAAAAAAAAAAAAATCATTAACTTACATAAATAACATTAGTTCACAATTTGTTTTCTGCTACAGGGTAAAAATAATATTCACTTGCCAGGTGGTGGTGGCATACGCCTTTAATCCCAGCACTTGGGAGGCAGCAGCAGGAGAATCTCTGTGAGTTCAACTCCCTCTACAGAGGGAGTTCTAGAACAGCCAGGGCTACACAGAGAATGTCTGTCTCAAAAAACATACATACATACATACATACATACATACACACACATTCATTCACTTGATAACTAACTTCCTGATATTATCCATTCTCATGTGAGCACTTAAGAGTAGACCTATATGGTTGTCTTTTTCTCCTCCAAAGATACCTATTGTTAAAAGTTAGAATATTTTGTGTATTTAGAAACCCCTAAATCATTTCACAACAGCTTTGCATCCCATCTAGGGATAAAAGTGTGGAAAATCACATTTCTGTATCTGTCACAGGTTCTGTGTCATCAAGTTTAAGTACACTGGAGATCTTGAGCATCACAACAGTCAGGAAATTCTGGGAAATAAAGGTTTTTTATTTTTTTACATATGATCCAAGTACATTATAAACATGAGTAAAAAAAAAAGCAAAGAAAAAAAACAGTAAAAATGTCATAATGAAACCATTTTATACATCAAATATATGCTAATATAAAAGTACATTTTTAAAAAGGGGTTCTTTTTTGGTGAGTATAAGAAAAATCTTGGAATGATGCTTAAATGATCTCTAGAAGTTAAAAGGTTGAACTCTTTACAGAATTAAACTTGAATCATGGAAAAGTTCTTTTTGAAGATACTTAAAACGTAACAGTACAAATTGCCCCCTTGTTTTCCACCATTTAGCATTACGTTCATTTTGGTTACCTTCAGCCTTTCTTTGAGACAAGGTTTCTCTGTGTAGTACTGGCTGTCCTAGAACTTAATCTGTAGACTAAGCTGGTCTTGTAGCTTTTGCAGACCTTTTAATTACAGTGTTGGCAGCTAGCATAATTCATACACACACATACACGTATATGTTCCCCAGCTTTAAAAAAAGACATAAATATTTGTCACATTTCTGTATTACAGCACTCCCACATGACCTAATCCTGCTAGTCTTACTGAAGTTGGTATACAGGTGGCAGGCTATACAGATTATCTGTCCCCTGGAGCTTCCTGACTCGCATCCTTATATGTTGGTCCCTCAACCTGTCAGAAGGACCTAGGGACTGGGGTGGGGTCAGGGATTTGAGTGATGAAGACCCAAGTTTGAGTTTACTACCCTGAGCCAGCTTGAAGCAACAGCTAGAGTTTTGAGTTCTAAGAACATTTTGGACCTTTAATCATGTTTACTTCCCCCAGTAACAGAAAATTTTTATTTCAAAAAGGAAAAGATGTTACTCATATACTTTGCATGAAAACCTGTTTAGTTTTTGTTTTTGTTTTTGGAGACAGTTTTGCTAAATATTTAGCATAGGTAGGCAAATTCAAGATCCACCTTCAGCTTTCCAAATACTAGGGTCTCAGGAGTGGGTAACACTTTGCAAAAGCTACTGAGTTATAATTTGGAATGAGACTCAGGATACCTGGGTCTATTTGTTCTTTCTTTCCTGAGACAGGGTGAGGCTAGCCTTCATTTCCTGGTCCCCTGCTTTCTCTTCTGAAGTGCTGGGATTACAGGGACACACCACCATGTCTGGTTCTACTTCAGACTAACTCTCTGGATCAACAGGATGGCTAAACAAACTCCCTCTGTGTCCCTTATCAATACAAGGAAAAAGACTGCTATAGTTACAGCTTTTCAAGAAGATTCAAGTTCTATGGGAACTGAAGATGCTAGTGACTTAGGGTGAGTGTTCAAACAGGCTTGTTTTTCAGGCACTTCACCGGACATTACATGTCTAGTACTGGGATAACAGATGCTCTTCTACCCCATCTTGGCATGTTACAGGGCAGGCGTCATCCTGACTATTCTGGTACTTTCAGCATAGACTTTACCACACTAATCAGTTCATGAAACTCTGTGTTCTGAAAGTGACCACGGTTGGTGAACTTGTACAATTTGGCATCCAGCCTATCTGCCACTTCTTCTTGTTCCTTCCAGGGAAGGAAGGGGTCATCAGTGGAGCCAAACTGTACAATATGAGGGCAGTTGGCCTTGATCTTCTCCCACTGCCAGGGGCGGCTGAAGTACCCTGTAGAAAAAAAAAAATAGCCTATCAATATGCATAAATAGTCACTCTAGTCATCTGAAAATACCTACTGGGGGCCCTCAGAAGTGCAAAGGACCAGGGGCTTGAGTTCAGAACAGTTCTTCAGTTTTCCTATCTGTAGGGCTTGATACCATACTGACTTGCAAAGACTAAGTAAGGCTCAAATAAAACCAGGTCCTGGGATTCATTCGAGACTTCAGATTGGAAAAGACATCTGTCTTACCTCCAAAGGTAGGTGGAAAACCTCTCATTTGCTATTGTTTTTTTAGGGCTGAGAGAGAATAACTACTTTGTAACTTGAGCAGTCTGTCCTGTGTCTAGGGAAGGGCTTTCTTGGGTGTTCTCCCTAAAGACTTACCACTTGCACGCTCGTTTTCATCCCCCAAGTCTGACGTGTACGCAGACACCAATACAAGGGCATATACCTGATGTGTCTCTGCATACCTGCGGTGAGAAAGATAGTGTCAGTAATACGTGGTGTTATTAAATCTGAAAAACAGTAAGCCATGTGATGTGAGTTCACAGAAAGGTAGCATATGCCACTGAGACAGATGGAAAACAGAAAGAACATCTCTCAATCACTAACATGTGCATCCATCCACCTTTAGTATGTGTCAGCATTATTAAGTAATTTGGTCAACATTCTGATTCAGATTCCTGGGCTCAGCCCCAGGCATGGAGTTCAGAGAAATGGGATTAAGGCCCAGGAACCTGCAATTTAAGAAAAAATGGACATTGCCAGAAAGATACTTCTACTGCCCCCTGTACATTCATTCTCGTTTGTGTCATTATAATTGTCCCCACTCCCAAACTATCATTGCAATGCTCCTTAAGGGCAGGAAGAGCCTCACTGCCCTCTGACTAGCACCCTACCAGCAGACCAGCAGCTCACTATTTGCAGATGCTCTCGCTCAGCCAAGAGCAGGCTAAGGAAAGGTGTGAGATGTCTGAAGAAGCTTTTTGCTAGGGAATGTTTAGGGCTAGAATTTCATTCTTGAGAATAATCCTTTCCCCCCCAGCTGGTTACTCAAGAAATATCAAACCACAGAAGACATGAAAGGAAAAGAAGCACCAGATTGAATAAGACTGCCACACTTTACACTTACCTTAGTATTTGTCCCCTACGGATAGCCTTAGTGCCGTCATTATACCCAGTAAATTTACACTGCCTATATTCTTTATAAAGGCGTTTAGGTCAGTTCCCTAAACTGAATTTATTTTCTCATGGACTAAGATCAAACATTTTTGACAAGATAGCCTTCCCATTACATCAGGGACACACAATGTTGTGTCCCACTATTGATACCAAGTTTGATTGCTTGTTAAGGTGTTCCCAGCACTTTCTACTGAAAAGGCTCAATATCCCTTCGTAGTTAATAAGTCAGCTAGCATGTCCCTTCTGAGTATATTAGTTGCCTGTACACACTCTTATACTAATGATTTGGGCATCATTTTTCTTTGCCTCTCAACTTTAGAAGGTTGCCAACAATCCTAATAAATTCAGAGGACTTATTAAAAATATTACATCTTTACCAATGGCTGGTAAACAAAGAAAAGGACAGAGTGTGTTACAAATTCACTGATTCTGTGCTAAATTACCTTTTTTTTTCTTTCTTTTTTTTTTTGGTTTTTTGAGACAGGGTTTCTCTGTGTAACAGCCGTGGCTGTCCTGGAACTCACTGAGATCTGCCTGCCTCTATCTCCCAAGTGCTGGGATTAAAGGTGAGCACCACCACTGCCCAGCACTAAAACACATTGTTATCCCCACTCCCTGGACCTATGTAGCTGAAAGGTTATAAAATTTGGCAAGATTCTATGACATACAATTCATATAGTATCTCGAATAACCGCTTGGAACAGCCTTTGTTACCAGGGTAGGAAATCTGGAAGAAGCCCAACCTCAGACAGCTTGGCCAGCTAATTCTTACCCCCAGGCTGGTGGGGAAGATAGGAGATTTTGACAGAAGCAAATGGGTGTACATGTGAATCCCAAGGGTTAGGGGGTTGTAGGTGGGTAGGGGTAAGCAACCTCTATTCTCCACGAGGTATTTATTGAACATCTACTCTGTCTCTCTCTCCTAGGCACTGCAATTCCTTGTTAGTGAACAAAATCCCACCTTCATGGAGCTTCCATTCTAATAATAGGGGCAGACAAGAGATCAATGTATGTTGGATGGTAAAGTATTATAGGTAATAAAATATAAAGGAGATAGGAGTCAGTAGGTTGAGGCTACTCTTTTATATGGAATTATTAAAGATCTCACCCAAAATGGGACATTTAAGCAGAGACACTGTAAGAGAAAGCCAGGCAGCTTGTAAGATAGTGTTCCTGCTAGAAGGCTCAGCAGGATAAGGCTGGTGTGTACTTGGCATATTCCAGGAACTACAATGACGTCAGTATGCCTGGTTGGGAGAAGAGAGACATCAGAGCTGAGCAACAGGAAGCTTTGGAGCTACAGAAACTTTAAAAGGATCACTGCACCTGGTAAAAGCCATTGGTTTCTTTCAATCCCTTGGCAAACAAGGAAGAAATTAGGGCACATGATGTTACCACTTTTGAGGTCAGCACTGTTCCCTCTGCAATGGAAACTTAAGAAACTTATTTCCCAAGCAAGCATGGCTACAGCCCAGACCGGGGGCAGCAATTCTACAGGGTCATACCTCATGGCTGCGATGGCCCCGGAGCTGTGGCCTATGATGATGGTCTTCTCATCACAGTGCAGCTCTGTCTCCATGAAGGGCAGCCAGATGCTCTCTCGGGCTGTAACTGTGTTCAGGGTAAAACAGTCTGGTACTCAGCGGGGGCAGTCTATATGTGATGCTGTCCCACCACTTTTAAACTGAGGCCGAAGTGGCTGTTTTAGCAGAGCCCAAGACCTCTGTCCTGTGATTTTAGTAAAAAGTTTTACTCCCCCACCATGTTCTTATATTTAAAAAAAAAAAAAAAAGGAAATATTACAGCCAAAGTGAAGCTTCCCCCCACTTCACCCATTTTTTCTTTTTTGAGAAGGAGCCTCACTATGTAGCACGTGTTACATGTAATTTTCTCTGTAGCCCACATCAGAATTCTCTTGTCTCAGGTTCCCAACTGTCAGGATTAAAGGCATATACCACCAACACTGGTTTCAATTCTGAAAATTTCATGTAAAAATTTGAACTTTGGAAACAAATACCCCCAAGCTGGAGGTAGAGTTCAGAGCCAGAGTGCTTGCCCAGGGTTGTGAGACCCCCAGGTGCAGTCTCAGCACCAAGAAAAACAAAACACACACACACACACACACACACACACACACACACACACACACACACACACACGACAACATTCTAAAACCCATGTATAGTATATATTATTTCTTTCCTGAACCAAGACACACCCATAAAAAAAAGGGAAAATCTTATATTTTTAAATATTTAGGAACTCAACTAGATTCTGCAAGGCTTCATTTGATCTGTTTTAACTAAATTTTGCCTGCAAATGTCTGTGGACACTTAACAGAGAAAATAAAGTTGCTAGCTTACAAAGTTAAAAATGAAATTTTACCATGCCCAGGTGCTTCTCTTGACTTTCACTGAAATCTTCCACATTTTTTGGCTTATACCTGCCCAGAGCTCCTTGCTTTACTCGTTATTAGTATGTATTTATCTTTGTTCTTTCACTACCATATCCCTGCTTTTTAGCCCCTCACTCCCCACCCCACCCCCAAATGGTGAGCTCAAAATCCAAGAGATGAGGCTTTTCAAAAACAAGTTTAAAACTTACTTGGGTCAGGCATGTTTTTAGCCAAACACTGGAAACCAGGAATCTGAGATATAAGGGGGAAGAAAAAGCTATAATAAAGAGCTTAATTGCAACTAAAACTTTGCAAAAAAAAAAAAAAAAAAAGTGACACCTGAGATGATCTTGCTCAATTCAGTAAATATTTGCTGATATTATGAAATGAAATGGATTAAGTTGTGTTCCAGATGAATATACACCCCATGTATAGTTCTCTATCCAGCTTTGTAGAACTCCACAGAGACCAGTGTCTGCACTTGTAATCTATATTTATCTTCAAGGCATGTATCTATAGAGAAGGTCTATGAGAACGTGCTAGAGACAGAATAACCTGAGCCATACTGTGCCCCAAAAAGAAAGTAAAAAATAATATAGAGACACCATAGAGAAAGTTGATGATCCCATCCTATTGGCCATTTCCAGCTCGACCTGAGTTGTTAGTTTTGCCCACAGCTTTCAGCCACAACCCTGAAGTTTTATTCCAAATGGATTCTATTATCTCCTGAACTTCTATTCTAGAGGCCAAAGCAGCAAACTGTCTAACTGCTGGACTATGGGAAAAAGAAGGCTTTTTCTTTTCTTAAAAGTCAAGCAGCACAGGATGAGCTGGGGTGCAATGCTGTTTCTATAAAGCTCACAAAGAAGCCAAATTAAACAATATCATACAAGATTATACACACGAGTTCGAAAAATACTTTAAGTTTTAAAAAGTACAGCAAAAGGGCCAGGACAGTAGCTCAGCTGGCAAAGGCACTTGCATTGCAAGCCTGGTGACCTGAGTTTGATTCCCAGACTCATGTAAAGGTAGAAAGAGAACTGGTTCCACAAAGTTGTCTTCTTACCTCCACATGAGCCTCCTGCATACAATAATTTAAAGAGAAGCAAAATGAACTTCAGACTGTCATAGGGATAGGACAGGAAGCAGACAGATCCAGTTAGAAGATACTGGCAATGTTCTAGAGTTTAATTTGGGCTGAGACTATGGCTCAATGGTACAGGGCACACAAAGATGCCTTGGGCTTGGATAGCACCGGAATTTGTTTTTCTCAGTGTGGTTTATTACACATTACGTACATTCTTTGTGTATATTAAATGTCACATGGTGAATTTTTTTAAAAAATCTAAAGCAATGATTATTAACATAAAATTATCTGGGAAACCTCCAATCTGAACTGGCCGAAGATTGGAGGGAGGGCATTCTCTATAGTTGCAGAACAGGGTTCCTTTCAGTTTCAAGAACTGAGCCCTCCGCTTTTTGAGCTGCTTCGCCAGGCAAGATCCTGGCCACTAAGACTGGGCAGCACCGTCGAGGACTCACACACTGGGCTCATCTGGAGGAGAGTGGGCATAAACCCTTCGTCCTCCCTCCCTCCGCTCCGCGCCAAGCTGACCGAGGAGCAGGGGCTGAAATTCCTTACCTGCTCCAGCCTCTTTCTCACCCACCCGTACCAGCCGTGGGTGGCCACATCCCCGCCTCCGTTCCCGGGAACAATCACTGCCTTGCTAGGGACCGCCATGGATGCAAAGCCAGAGACCCCAGCCCAGCTCGGACCAGCAGAGCTCAGATCTAGACTGCATCCGGCCCAGAGCCCGCACTGAGGCCTTCTGGGAATTGTAGTCCTTGCATACCCTCAGGTCCTTGCCGCCTCTGCTAAAACGCAAACTCAAACCCTGTGAATTACCATCAAATATCAATCACCTTTGATTTCCCTTTTCCGGCGTTCTCATACTCCTTATGAAGTACTGGTAACAACATGCTTAGAATGTGTTATCTTTTTATTAGGCATACCAATACTTTAAGGAATGATTCCCCCCCTCCCCCACCCCAAGTAAATTTTCGTTAATTTAAGACAGTCTCATTATGTAGCACCTACTGGCCTGGGCTCTCTATGTAGACCAGACTGGCCTAGAACTGCCTCTGCCTCTTAAGTGCTGGCATTAAAGGAGTGTGTCACTATATTCAGCTAGAATTATTTTATTATTTATGTGTATGTGGCCGCTTGCGTGGGGGTGACTAAGGAGTTCAGAGGAGGGTGGTGGGTTCCCTGGAACTGGAAGTAGCCAAATGTGAGTGCTGGGAACTGAACTCCAGTCTTGTGAAAGAGCAGCAAGTACGCTTAATGGTTGAGCCATCTCCCCAGCCCCATTTTTGTTTTTTTCAATTATTGTGTGCATGCACACATGATGTGTGTATGTTTGAACATATTTGAGTGTGCGTGCAGAGGTCAGAGGACAACTTGAAGGAATCCTTTCTCTCATTATATCAAGTGGGTCCCGGAGACTGAACTCAGGTTGTTCAACCCGATTGCTGCTGGCTTTCTTCACTCTTACAGAGTCTAGGGCCCTGGCCATGACATGGAACTGCCCACATTCAGGATGGGTCTTTCTACCTCAACTAAATTAAGATAATCTTCCACAGACATGCCTGCAGATAACCTGATCTCGATGATTCCTCATTAAGACCCTTCTCAGGTGCTTTTAGGTTGTGGCTAGTTGACAATTAAAACTAGTGAGCACAGGGAGTTGTTGATGAAATCAGAGTAGGAGGGAAGGAAAGGACACTTTGCAGAAGGGGTGAGGCAGGCAAACCAGGAGAAGAACACAGAACCAGTTGTCTTGAGTCTGTTCCTTGAGGTGAAAATCATTGAGGTGAGCGTGTAAACTGCATTCTGCCAAGAACAATGTGAGCCTTGGGTGTGGAAATTATGCTCAAATCTTCCCAGGCTACTTCAGGAACAAACAGCCACATTCTATTGTATTTTGTTTTTTTGTTTTTAAGAATGTGTGTGTGTGTGTGTGTGTGTGTGTGTGTGTGTGTGTGTGTGTGTGTGTGTGTGTATACACATGTAAGCCAAAGGTCAATGTTGAGTATCTTCTATCATTTTCCACTTTACATTTGATTTCTGAGACAGGATCTATCTGTGAACCTGGACATCACTGATTTAGCAAGACTAGCTGGCCAGTAAGCTCCAAACATCTCTCTGTTCCCTAGATGTTGGTCATGGGTTGCGTCTTCAGTATCCATTGCTATCCACTGCGACTAAAGCTCCTGTTGGTTATGCCACCGAGCTGCCCCTCGTGGCTGGTCACCGCCCGCGGCGGCCATGCCCGCGGAGGAGCATGCCCGCGGAGGAGCGTGCTGATTGAAAGAATCATAGCCATGGTTACCTTTTCAGAGCTTTATTGGGGGGGGGGGGACAGAGAAAGACAGAGAGAGAGAGAGAGAGAGAGAAAGAAGGGGGGAGAGGGAGAGAGGGGGACCGACGGGGGGAAGGAGCGCAAAGGAGAGGGGACAGAGAGAACCCACAGAGGGCCCAACCGCTTTTTAGGCTGGGAAGCCGGCGAAGGCTGATGACGTAATTAAAGGACATAAATAAGGACCAAAACCTTACAGCTCCACTTTCACAGATTCATGCAACAGCCTTTCAGGGCTTCTTTGCAGAGAATACAACCCTGCCATACATTGTTAGTTTTAGCAGCTTCCAAGAACTTGGAGCAAGTCTCCATGCCCTCTCATTTCAATTATTTATTTTTAGGTTGCATCTCATTGGGTGCTCCTGAAAGGCCAGCTTTCAGCAGCTCAGGAACTGAAGGCAAGGTGTGGATAATCAAACAATTGACTTTTTTATCTGAGGGAGTAAAACTTAACTCTCTGGGACCAGTAAAAAAGGGGAAAACAAGCCAGGCGGTGGTGGCACACGCCTTTAATCCCAGCACTCAGGAGGCAGAGGCAGGCGGATCTCTGTGAGTTCGAGGCCAGCCTGGGCTACAGAGTGAGTTCCAGGAAAGGCACAAAGCTACACAGAGAAACCCTGTCTCGAAAAACCAAGAAAAAAAAAAGGGGACACACACACACACACACCCCTTCAACATGTCAGGCCTCTCTTATTTTTTCCCTTACATCCTTCCTGGTGTTCTCCTTCTAATGCTTTCCTTCTGTCTTCCTCTGACTCTGTTTTTCCCTTACAGCTTATATACCCCAGCAAAAACTTTTGAGTAATAGAAAAATTAGTGTAGTTACATTCTATTTTTTAAGTGAATGATTACAATGAGTACAAGTAAAAAATAGCATGCTTCCCATATCCCTTACATGATTAAACATTTTATGCATTACAAGTGAAAAACAAATTATTCCCAAGGACCCACATACATTCATGTCTAAGTAACTTGTTATAGATTAACAAAGTGTAAGCAGGCAAGGTATTTTTCTCAGCCAGTTCTTTTACTGGCAGGCTGCATTTTGTGGTTACAAAGAAAAGATCAATCATTTAATTATTTGTCTCAAAATGTAATCTTATAAAAAAAATAAAAAATCTTAACTTTTATATGTGAAAAACAATCAGTTCCCCAGCTAAGACTCCTAGCAATAATGGAGAGGGTGCCCGAACTGGCCTTCTCCCGTAATCAGATTGGTGACTACCCTAATTGTCTTCATAGAACCTTCATCCAGTAACTGACAGAAGCAGATGCAGATCTACAGTCAAGCACTGGGCAGAGCACTGGGAGTCCAGGTGAAGAGAGGGAGGAGGGTTTACATGAGCAAGGGAGGGGGTCAAGATCATAACGGGGAAACCCACAGAGATAGCTGACCCACGCTCATGGGAGCTCACGGACTCTAGAAACAAAAAGCTAGGTAGCCTGCATGGGACTGACCTAGGCCCTGTCCCTGGTACATGAGCTAGCTGTTTGGAACCTATTCCCTATGGTGGGATACCTTGCTCAGCCTTGATGCAGGGGGCGAGGAGGGAGGAGCTTGGTCCTGCCTCAACTTGGTATGCCATGCTTTGTTGACTCCCATGGGAGGCCTTACCCTTTCTGAGGAGTGAAGCGGGGGAGGGGAGGTAAAATAAATAAGAAAACTTAATAAAAAAGATAAAGAAAAACAATCAGTCATTTCCACTTTAAATCCTCGGGGTGCAAAAACCACTCAACAGTTTTTTTGTTTGTTTTTTGTTTTTTATTAAATCATATCAGGAAGCTAAGGGCAGAAATGGGTACAAGGAATTAATCATTGCCTTTGATCACCTATCCTAGCATGAGGGCAATAAGCAGAGCTATGCTCAATAACAACATGAGGTTTTCAGAACATGTAGTCCTCAGGAATCTGTCTCTCCAAGGCTCTCTTGGTTTTGCTGGCTGCCCAGTTGTGTCCTATGAGTTCCAAAGCTGCTTGCTGTTGTGGAATAGTCCTTTTGTATACTGTGAAGATGTGTCTTTGCCAAGGTGCATTCTGATTGGTTTAATAAAAAGCTAACTGTCCATTAACTAGGCAGGAGGTATATGCAGGAGATCCAGACAGAGAGAACTCTGGAAGAAGGGCGGAGTTGCCAGTCAGACAGAGAAGCAGCAGCATGGGCAGTACATAGATGAGGTAAACAAGCCTCAGGACAGCACATAGATTAATAAAAATAATTTAAGTTGTAAGAGCTAGTTAGTAATAAGCCCAAGCTATCAGCCAAGCATTTATCATTACTAATATGTCTCTGTGTAGTTATTTGTGAGCTGGCTGGTGGCACAGAAAATTCCACCTACAGCTTGCTGTTACTCTCGAATGCCCCCACCCCCAACCTTGACCCCTGTCCCATCAATTAGGTAGCCTTAGCTAGGCTGGAACTCATTATATAGATCAGGCTGGTTTTGAACTCACAGAGGTCCACTTACTTTTGCCTCTTGAATGCTGACATTAAAGACATATTTGCTGCCATTCCTAGCAAATTCCTTATATTTTGTATGCTTACAAAGTCAACACCATGTGGCTATTTAACACCAAGTCCTACTGCCAATCTGAGGTGTAGGCAGACCCTGGTAGACCACAGATGCCATGGCTTCTGCCTGCCTTAGAGACTGAAACTGGGGAAACATTTCCTTTGATGGCCATTTTCCAGCAGGGAATCCTTGCAGGGGTGGAGGCATTCTCAATTCAGGATTTCTCCTTTTACATAAATTTGTACTTTTAGAAGCTGGAACTTTCTATGGGTGGGGTCTGAACTTCAGGGCCTATTTCTTATTGCCCCGGTGTAAAGTACTAGGTTTTGCATTAATGGTGCTGATCTCTTTTTTTTTTTTTTTTCCGAGACAGGGTTTCTCTGTGTAGCTTTGCGCCTTTCCTGGAACTCACTTGGTAGCCCAGGCTGGCCTCGAACTCACAGAGATCTGCCTGGCTCTGCCTCCCAAGTGCTGGGATTAAAGGCGTGCGCCACCACCGCCCGGCGCTGATCTCTTTTTAATTATAGCTGCTTTCTCCACATCTGCCCCATCTGCAGCTTTTTTCAGGTTCATGTTCTTGTTCTTCCCATACTGCATACTTTTTACATCCTCCAGCTAAATACTCATCATAAGCTGCAATACAGTTGATGAACAATAACCATGCCTCAGCATGGATATGATGTTATACTCTCTTGAAATTTCTTCATCCATACCAATTAGATGGTCCCTGTCTTAGTTAGGGTTTCTATTGCTGTGAAGAGACACCACAGCAACACTTATAAAGGAAAACATTTAATTGGGGCTAGCTTACAGTTCAGAGACTTAGTCCATTATCATCATGGCAAAACATGGTGGCGTGCAGGTAGACATGGTGCTGGAGAGGTAGCTGAGAGTTCTATATCTTG